CGTTGGATCAAGTGCAGCAGGAAAAGACAGAGCAGTAAGACGAGGTTAAGAAAGAATGAGACATTTTGGAAGGGGGCACACGAGAATGTGATGTACAGGAACAAGACGTACCGATTGCTTATGACAGATGAATACACCCTCGCTGAAAGAAAAACATTACAAGAAAGATGGGGCTTGCAAGAGAACAGACGCAGCAGTAATGATAAATGAAGAGAAATAAATTACTGCAATGGACACTTCGATCGAGTACAGCAAACAAACAAAAATCAGGAATGATGACAATCAACCAGCTGAAACAATCTATGCACTACACAAAATTATACTACAAGCCTGTAATACATCCAACAATCCCCTAATTACTTCCATTACAACCGACTTAACCCAGAACCCTTCCAGCAGTCGCAGCCGTACTTCTGTCTTTAGTCTCAACCTTCCTCAAGCCTTTACCAGCAGCAATCTCACCAAGCAGGGCACCGCGGTCAGGTGCACCAGCTGGGGACCTCATGCTAGGCATGGGTGGTGGCGGAGGAGCACCACCCAGAGGCGGTGGTGGGCCAGGAGGTGGTGGCGGGGCACCGCTTGAGGGCATAGGTGGAGGAGGAGGAATACCTCCAGGAGATGATCCTACGGCTGGGCTCTCAGCGCGAGGGCTCTTGTTGTCCATTGAAGACAGAGGGCGTGGGGGCGCCATGGTGCCGAAAAGGATGGAGGCCAGCTGCTTGGCTCCACCTTGCGTGGGCGCTTCGTCATCGTCAGATGAGGAATCGTCGGAGTCGACTACAGACCAGTCATCGTCATCTTGTCGTCCTAGCCTGCGGGCTGAGGGTGCAGCCGGCTCGTTGAAGGTAGGAATAGTAGATTTGTTGGCATTCTCTTGAGTCAGGCGGTGGAAGGGGTTAGTAGACACTTCGCTTGTAGTGCTAGTTGGGCCAGGCGGAGTAGCAGCGTTGTTATTCTCCTGGTTGGACATGGCCATTTTCTTCAAGAATGGGTTCTTGGTCTCAGTGTCGCCCATGCCAGGATGCGGACTGGTCACAGATGACGCAGGCGGGCTAGCAATAGACGATGGCGGCGTATTGTGGGAAGCCTGTGGCATTGGTGGTGGCTGCGGAGGCTGAGACTCGCGCGGCAACTCCTGGCTTGCGGTAGGCGTGGTATCCTGAGGAGTAATGTTTTGTGGACCTTCGTCATCCGAGGACTGATCATCGTCAAGTGCCTCCAGCTGCAATTGCAGCTGGCGTTCGCGTTCACGAGCAGCCTCGATCTCGGCACGCTGTGCTGCCAATCGTGCTTCCTTCTCCTTGGCGTCTTTGGAAGCAGCTTCTCTACGTTTCTTCTCTTCAGCCTTCTTCAACTTGCCCTGCTGGACCTGTTGCTCAAGAGCACGAAGTCTGGCTTGAGCGGCTTCCCGTTCACTAGCCAACTCGCTCTCTTGTCTGCGTTCTTCTTCCCTATTCTTTGTTAGTAAAAGTCTCGAAACGTACGTCAGCGTATACATACTCCATGCGCCTTGTCTCTGCTTCTTGTGCCTCTTGCTGCTCACGGAGTGCTGACTCAGCATCTGATTGCTGTGTGTCATACTGAGGGGCATCATTCTTGTTCTTGCGCGAGGCTGGCGGCGGCGGTGCTGGCTTCTTGCCATTGCTCTTGACGGGGACTGGTGGTGCGGCTGATTCATCATTGAGACGTCTTTGACGCTCTTCTTCACGGCGTGCATCTTCCTCTTCAGCTTGACGAAGTTTCTCTTCACGTTCCCTCTTCTCACGTTCAGCACGCTGTTGAGGTGTTTCACCAGCCTTAACCGGAGCCTTGATACCCAGGGCAGCCAAACGTTCAGCCATTCGCTGTTCAGCCTGTTGTTTGATAAAGGCGGCTCGTTCCTCTGGTGTCTTGTACGCAGCTCCAGTACGAGGGGCGGATGTCGCCGGACGAGGGATAGGATCATCACTAGCAGCAGGGCTCTCATAACGTGATGTTGCTGGGCGAGTATCCGCTGAACGAGACCTGTAGTTATCCCTTGATGAGCTGTGATAGGTTAGCAGATATGGTATTAGAATCAACGTTGAGATACTCACTCTTCTTTACGGACACGTGCTGCCCGGCTGCTTCGCTGAAGATCGAAGATAAAGTCTTTGACTTCGTCTTCAACACCTAGAGCCTCCTCCCACCTGCGCCGTTCATGCTCGCTGGTAGTGTCGTGTCCTCCTTCCTTGAGGCTTGACTCGAGTCCCCTAGTGAACTCATTGACGCTGTCTTCAACATCGCGAATCATGCGCTCGTTATTCTCCCTCTCGGCTCTAATACGTGAGGTCTCCTTCTCCAAGCGCTCTGCTGCGGCACCAGTGTCATCAGTAACAGGTGCAGGCTTTCCAGTCAAGGCAGCAGAACGAGCTTGCATCATGGCCTTAGCACGAGCCTTCAATCGGTCGGATTCAGTCACTGCGCCGCCTGGACCAGTGCCCACGATTGCGGATGCAGATCCAGGGTGCGCTTTGGCATCTTTGAGTCTGAAAAGCTCGAGTTGGGCATCCGCAATCTCACGCTCTGTTCTACGCACATTGGACGCAAGTTCGGGTAAGCGATCAGTCAAGTTCTGAAGCTGACGCTTGAGCGCGCGGCGCTCTGCATCCGAGTCAGAAGATCTCAAAGATGCCTTTGGATGAGCGTCAATGTCCTCCTGGATCCTACGAATGCGGCGATAAAGATCATCAGCCTCTCGGCGGTCTCGGCGGTCCAGGGCGTCATCGTCGTCTGCAGCGTTCTCATCTCGGGCATCCATTGCATCTAGGAGAATCTGCTTCTCCTTGACAGCCTTTCTAAGCTGATCCAGAGTCATTTCATCAGAACGATCTGAAGCAGGAGATCCTGGTTGAGCAGGAGAAGGTGAACGACCACCGCCACCAATACGATGTCTGGCACTTGATTTGTAACCCACGTTGTCATCATTGTTACGGAAAACAGTGGCGTCTTTGCGGCCACCTGCTTGCGGGCTTCCAGCACGGAATGAGTGGGTCTTGAGATAGCTGACACCAGTACGTTGGGGTTGAAGAAAAGCGCCAGAATTCTTCCTGTCTTCGGCATCCCCACGAAGCAAGTTCTTCATGGCACCAATAGAGTCATTGATGTTGCGTGTTGAAGGTGGAACCAATTCAGGAGGGAGACGAGCAGGAACAGGATAGCCATTGAGCTTGCGGTAGATCAAGTGCATAGCAACAGCAAACTGATCAAGATCAAGACGACCGCGATCAGCAGAGTCAGCAAGTGTCCAAATGCGCTCCAAGTCAGACTTGGGCAGTCCACTCTGTCCAAAGATCTCAAGAGCCTGTGCTCCGCTAATGTAACCCTTGCCCATACCGTCCCAAGCGCGGAACGTCTCATCATACAGCTTCTTCTCGCCCTTTGTGATAGCCCAGGGAATCGTCGCGTTGCCAGTCAGTCCGGCAGTTGTATGATTACCACCCTCTCGACCAGTCTGGGGCATCATCCTTTGAGCCAAAGCCTCGATGTTCGGCAGTCCAGTAGCAGGTGTATTTGCAAGACCCCATTGGCCAGGCATTCCGGTGGGTTGCGCATTAAGAGGAGCAATGCCGGTTGGGTTGGGTGCCAGGTTGGAGCCAAATCCTGTAGGCATAGGAGGCATAGGCGGACGTGGCCCATTGTAACCACCTGGAGATTGTCCAAAGCCGGTAGGCTGCGGTTGCATACCAGTTGGCTGTTGTCCAAACCCTGTAGGTTGTGGCTGCATGCCCATGGGCTGCTGCCCAAATCCAGTCGGCTGCGACACCAATGTAGACAGCAATTGGCTGTTCGAAGCCTGTGGTTGCGGTTGCTGGATCGAAGGAGGCTCGTTGATTTTGGGGGCATTGTTCGACGGCGTAGCGCCTCTCGAGGGCGTATCTGCGATACCGAATGAGATAATGTCCACCATGCTTGATACCTCATTCTTGACGCGTTCAGGCAACGAGTTGGGGAGGTCTTTTCCTGTCAACTTCAGATTGCACAGGTACATGGCGAGCGCAAATTCGGGGAAGAGAAGCTGTCCTGACTTGGTGGTGTCTGAGAGCGTCCTGAACTTGTTAGGATGAAGCAGCTATGGAGCTATACAAACATACCAGATATGCGAGAGAGCATCTCCCGACAGCTTGGATCGCATCAGCAGGTCTCGCGCCTGGTCTCCTGAAAGAGCTTGCGCGTTTCCCACAGCTGACTTGAACAGCTGTTCAAACTTGGCCTGGTCTTGCGCTGTAATGAACGAGAGTCGAATGTTTGGAATCTTGGTTCCCTTGGCAGGCACAGGCGGTGGCACAGAGGAAGCACCGCTTCCTCGAAATGAATCAGCCATCTGCGCCGACGTCATGCCCGTAGGTTGGGGACGTTGGGGTTGAACAGGAGGCTGCTGCTGCTGTGGGGGCGCGCCAGTTTGGAAGGGCACCTGCTGGGGTGCCTGTTGCTGCTGGAATTGCTGGGCCTGTTGACCAGGGAAACCAGTATACTGTGGCTGCAATTGCGGTTGCTGTCCAAAGCCCTGCGGCTGACCCGGGAAGCCTGTAAACTGTGGTTGCATTGGGCTACCTCCAAAGCCGGTAGGCTGGGGCATCAGCCCGCCCTGGAAGCTGCCGGGTTGCTGGAACTGCTGCTGCTGCTGTTGCTGCTGCTGGCCATACTGAGGCTGCCCGGGTCGGGCGCTGTTGCCGCCCCCTAAGTACGAGTTGGACCCAGAGAACATGGTGGGCGACTTGTTCGCGGGTGAATTAAAGGAACGTTGATGCGCGCATGCGGGGAAGAAATGGGAATACACAAAGGAGTGCGCGAATGCGGGAATAGTGGAAGGTGTAGTGAGGTTGGGTTACGAGTCTGGCTGTGCCGGGTTACCACAAGGTGCACGGGTAGGTTCGCGCTAGTGAGACGCTCCGTCGTCATCCTCAAGCACTGTCGCATTGAGCCTTCTAGCCCAACACCACCCATATCAGCCAATATCATGTCGAGTGCACAAAACGGAGATAATAGGTCGCATGCCGAAGCTGATCTTGCAGAGGTAAGGCCTGCGGTAAATAATTGTCGACAGGCCCTAATATTCGTGCAAGGCGTTCAAGGAACTGCAGCGAGGGGAGCAGACGGCAGCCGCCCTAGAGTCCCACCTTGATTCCATAGAGAAGAAGATTGAAGCTCTCCTTGCACAGGCAGAAAAAGCAGAGAAGGAGTTGAAGGACAGCAAGGCGGACGACAAGCAATCATCGAAAGCAGATGAGAAGGCCTCATGAAGTCGGCGAAACCCACTACACAATAACGGCTCGCGTACTCCTATCAATATCCAATCAGATGATACACGCACAAACACCACAATAATTTCACAGTAACCAAGACAAGCTGCAGATTCGGCTAGTACGATATGCACAAAACAGAGGACAGGCGATGATAGATTCTGAGAGCATCGTTCTTGTATAGGAAGACGGAAGCCTCCGGTCTTATAGTCCACCAATAGTTGAAGTCCTGGCTCCTGAGCTCTCAGCTTCGAAAACCTTGTCCAAATGGAATACCCCATTGCTGTCCTTCTCGACCACACCGACCTCGGTGATGATTCCATCAATCAGTTCTGCAGGAGTGACGTCGAAGGCCGGGTTCCATACCCCAATACCGTTGGCTGCGATGCTGATCGTCTCGACGACGCCCAGATCGAGCAAGATACCATCGTGCCTTGGTCCCTTTACAAGTGTTACCTCTTTTCCAGGCCGCTCTTCGATGACGATGTCTGCTCCGGACTTGGTCTTCAAGTCGATTGTCGTTCGTGGTGCGGCTACAAGAAACTTTACCCCATGATGCCGAGCAAGGATGGCGAGTGAGTATGTGCCAATTTTATTGGCTGTATCGCCATTTGCGGCTACTCGGTCTGCGCCAACCACTATGCCGGCAATGTTCTCGCTCTTGCCCCGCAACCGAAGCAGGGCCGCCGCCATAGAGTCTGTGATGAGAGTGGCCGGTATTTTGTCGTGAACCAGCTCGAATGCTGTCAGTCTAGAGCCTTGGTTGTACGGGCGAGTCTCTGAGCAAAAAGCATGCTTCAGTGAGCCGTTGGCATGCAGTGACCGGATCACACCAAGCGCCGTACCATACCCGGCAGTAGCAAGGGACCTGTAATGTTAGTCGCGTGTACCGACCAAGGGAATCTAGTACATACCCAGTGTTGCAATGCGTCATCATGCCGACTGGGCCTGCCTTTCCAGCCTCGGTGTTCTTCACGATCCAGTCTGCGCCGTGCTTTCCGATGCTCTCATTGTCGCTCACATCATCGACGAGCATCTGCTCTGCAGCAGCCACATACGCCTCCCGCACAGCCTCTCCATTTGCCTCTTCCTTTGCCGCGGCATTTTCAGTGATCTTTCGCAACTTGCCAGCAGCATCTGCAAGGTTGACAGCCGTCGGCCGGCTTGTAACCAAATAGTCCAACTTTTCAATAATGAAGACCTTGACTTCTTCGGCAGCCGAAGGGAGCTTCATGTTGGTCAGTTCGACTGCGAGGGCCAGTGCAGCAACAATGGCGATGGCTGGTGCGCCCCGCGTGCGCATGTCCTTGATGGCGTGCCATGCGTCAGTGCTAGAGTAGATGTGATCATACTCCTCGGCATGCGGTAGTTTCAGCTGATCGAGGATTTCGAGCTGACCTCGAGAGTACTTGATTGCATGGAGCACCATATTGAATTGCTTGTGTTTGGGTGTGTTGTTCCAGCGACACAGCAAAAAATTTCAAGATGGTATGTAAGATTGGGTTGCAATTGCCCCAACGTGAGACCCTGGCGCTAGCCCATTGGTGCCGCAGACTCCATACAACTGAGGAGTTACTGGTCACGTTTTCGAGGGCAAGACTGGAGACACTCTGATTCAACAAGACACATATATGCTTCTGTATTGGTAAACGGGAGCCGTTCACGCATTCCATCCCCGCAGCTCGCCACTCTGTTGATGGCACTTCGGATGACGGCATGTGATGCGGCGAGACTAGCCACGTGTGGCTGCAGCCGAGGCTGGGCTCAGCCACAAAGGTGCTCCATCGGCGATATTGGCCGCAACTTGATTGTTAACCCAGTGCAGAGAATGAGGAGAGAGCCACAGTCGAGCAGCATCTGCCCAAAGCTTTCAGCGATGATTGCCATGATTTGCGTGGCTCGAAACGGGACATGTCTTAGATTCCTGGTGTTTTGGCCATTCAACAGGAGGCGAAGCGATTCGCTTCCAGCCCTACAAGAGCCGCAAAGCAAATCCAGGGACCGACGCTTGCAAGGAAGAGTGAATTGGTCATGGTAACTGCATGACGACGCTGACACCTCGACTTGACAGCCAAGTCGCACGGTGTCCAAAAAGCTGCCGTCATGTCCCTTTCTCCTGTTTCCGCACACTTTCTACATATTCCAGCCTCTTGCTCAACCCGAAACCGTTTGCCGCAAACGTGCTGTTGCCGTCCAATCCTTGACCTATTCGGTAACCACGCCCGTCTTTGGCTATACCCGATAGGCGGAGAAAAAAGACCCACACCCTCACTAATACCCGCTACCCCCAACACCACAAGAAGAGCCCGTCGCCCACCCAGAAGCATTTCCTGAGCACATGCAAACGCTAGCCAATCGCCTTAGCTGGTCGCGCCTCACAAGACCCTCGTAGTCTGTCCCCGTACCACAGAAGATACCGCCACGCGCTCGACTGAACCCCGCCCAACTGTGCGCCGAACTTGTATATCAAATGCCCCTCATGGCACGCTCAAACTCGAGTGTTGGCGTCAGCTCCGCCGTCATGACTTCCCAAGAAGAGCCCATCCAGCCTTCATACCGAGGTTACGGTACTTTCGCTTCGCAGCGACCGGCGCAACGCCAGAGACGTCATTCATGGCACACGCGCCCTTGCATGCAGGAGGCTGAGAATTTCCAGGTCCTGGTATGTACAACATAAGCCACGTGCTGAACCACTATCTTGCAGAGGCGCTAACCACGAATCCCAGCTTCGAAACTTCCTTGCTGAACTCAACTGCCGACTCGATCTTCTCGAAGACTACGGCCACCTCAAGTATGATGCTGGTGTCGAATATGCATACAACACGCTCCTTGCTGTTCGCGAATCATGCTCCAAGATCTCGGATGGCGCAATTGAAGCAGGCCGACGACAGGCTTCCGTTTTCGTCGAGACCCTTGAAGAACGATACAAGGACGCTTTGGAGCGGAAAGAGACGCTAGGAGAAAAGGTCCTGGAGGGAATAGTACTAATGGACAACTATCTGACCGAATTCGAAGCACGCGCATTTGCGCTAGGAGATGCATCCATTGGCACATATGCGCACGAGTTTTATGAGGAAGGTCGGCGGAAAATGGACGAAGGAATCGAAATCGCAAAGGGGGTTGTCGATGGGGGGCTCGACAAAGCGCGGCGAGCGCGCGAGAACATTGAACTTCGAGTAGAGCACGCCGTCCAACGAGCGCTTGCCCAAGCCAAAGCCCACGGCCTGATTCAATACGAAGACCTGCCTGAGCCATGGCGAGTCAATCCCCACATCCTCAAGGGTTACCGCTTCCAAGAAGGAAAATGGGCATGCGTCCGATCCATTTTCGGACTCCACAACGAACTCATCAACATCTGGACGCACCTCCTCGGTTTCATCATGGTTCTCGCCATCGCCTTTTACTTTTACCCCTCAAGCGCCAACTTCAGCATGTCAACAAAAGCCGACATTTTCATAGCCGCGGTCTTCTTCTTCGCAGCATGCAAGTGCCTAGCTTGCTCCACCATCTGGCACACGATGAACAGCATCTCGCACCAAACGCTCCTCGAGCGCTTCGCCTGCGTAGATTACACGGGCATCTCGCTCCTTGTGGCCGCCTCAATCATGACGACCGAATACGCAGCTTTCTACTGCGAACCCGTCTCCCGCTGGTCCTACATGTGCATCACTGCGCTCCTCGGCATTGGCGGCGTCATCCTACCCTGGCACCCGACCTTCAACCGCGCAGACATGGCCTGGCTCCGCGTCGTCTTCTACTGCTCTCTTGCCCTCACGGGTTTCTTGCCCTTTGGCCAACTCGCATACACGCGCGGCGTAGCGTGGGCTCAGTACTTTTACGCACCCATCACGAAGAGCCTGCTCGTGTACATTACGGGCGCTTGTCTGTACGCTAGCAAGACGCCTGAGCGGTTCTTCCCAGGCCTGTTTGATTACATCGGTTGCTCGCACAATATCTGGCATCTTGCTGTGCTGGGGGGTATTGTCTTCCATTACATGGCTATGCAGACTATGTTTACCCAAGCGCTTACTAGGGCGCAGACGAGCTGCTCGGTGTATTGAGTAGGAATTTTTTTTCTTCTTTCCTATCGTTTCTGACCTTTTTCCTCTCTCTAGGGCCATGGGGTTTTTCTTTTTTCTCCTTTGTTCGCAATTCTTATCCGCACCCTGCTTGGAGCGTTCGGCATTGTTGAGCGAGTGTGTTGCATTTGCACAAAACGGGTGGTCTATAGACTCTTTTTTGTGGTTGAGACGGAAGCACTGAGTTTGGTGGTGATGGGAGACCAAGGTTCCAAGGTTGACACTACCTATATTCTACCTGAATGAATATCATTCTTTCGATATTTCATATATGGGTACTTGCATGCATGTGAAGCATTCTCTAATTTGGTCTTGTGTTGTTTTGTCTGCGGTTCATAGCATCAAGGTGGCGGAGTATGAATATTGTATTCGCCCATCACCCTATGAGTACGTATACAGCAGAGAGGCAGAGCTTGTTCGACAAGGCTCGACGGCCCTCCTTTCTATCATATTCGTATGATACAACTCTTCTGATGTTTCAAAAATCCAATTCCTGAACGCCTTGCGCTATGCATAGAACCTCAAGTCTCCCTCAATGACTTTTTTTCCGTATCCTCTCGCATTTTAAAATTGATTCACACACCTCAATGGCTATCCGGCACATCGGGCAACCTCTCAATAACATATTTGCCCTTTGCCACACTAACAATCGGCACACCAGGAATCTTCCTTATCCTCCTCTTGAGATCCCTATCATTCGTCGCAACAAGATAAATCCTATGCTTCTGCACGCGATCGACAATGCAGTCATCGGCATACGTTCCCTTGTGGTCGCACTTGAGGCGCTGCCAGCGCTCGTCACGGGCAATGCGCAGGGCAATGCGGTATTTGGGGCCGAGTTTCTCCAGCTCGGCCATGACGCACGTGGTGATGATGGGCGTGGCTTTGGCGTAGAGCAGGTCCATAAGGGCTTTGTCTAGCTCGAGCTTGGCGTGGACGGTATGGGAGAGGAAGTTGGTGTCTACGAGGACGGAGTAGGGAGGGCCAAGGGCGGTATTGGCTTGAAAGAAGAGTGCGGAGGAGACTTGTGGGCTGAGAAGTGAGTGTGTAAGCTGTTGGTCTACAAGAGAATCTTTATAGAGATAGCAGGGTTTCTCGCTGATATGCTTGCGTGATGAGAAGCAGAGACTTACATTTCGCGCTTCGCCTTGTTCTCTTCTTCCTTCTTCTTGGCTTCTATTTCACCAGCCATCTGGTTCTTCTTTCTGCAGCGCGGTGGTTAGTGCATGTGTGGCGGGGGAGGAGTGGCGGAGCGCCTCGTCGCATACAATCTTGCATCGCGTTGACCTCGAAGAATATTAGAACAAGTCTATTTCACTTTTCGCGGGGTCAAGCGGAGCATACCGACGATTCTTTTGGTGGTCGCAAACTTGCGAGTCTTCTTTGCGACACCCATGATTGCGCCGGGTGGATGTGTACTGAGAGAGGGCAGCTCAAAGTGCGCACAGCTTGTGCATAAATTCTTGGGTTATATAAAGTATGGGCTTCAGCCAGGGATAGCGGTACTGTCAGCGTGGGGTGCAGGATGTGTGTATGGTGTCGTGGTGGTGCTCGCAGATGGCTGCCACTAGCGCGATTCCTGACTTTTTGATGCCAAGACATGGCGCCTTCGGAATGGCTCGGAATGGCTCGGAACCACAGCCAATGAAAATATAGCACGGCACCGATTCAAGTCGCGCCTGCCCTAAGCCTTATACAGCGCGGCACAGGAAGGCGCGGGCAGGCAAATCACGCAGGGCCTAGAATAGAATCGCCGTTCCTGGGCTTTGGCGCGGTCTGTCACCACGCCCTGCATACTGTTGTTTTCCGCCCGCATCCCTGAGCCAGCAACCAGCCCAAGGCAACGTCAACACCGTGCGGCGTGGCCAAAACACTGCAAACCCCTCATCGCATTTGCATTTACGACTGCATGGCTGGATGAAACACTGCGATCAATCTCCCTCGCCCCCATCGCTGCCGTGTGTGCATTCCAGTCGCTCGGCTACGCTTCAAACATCACGCGAATCAGGCGCTCAGACGGTCTTTCGCCCCGCGGGTCCTGTGGACTCCGCCCGCCCCTGGTCACGAACCCCGTATTCCAACCCACTCTGCAACCAACCTGTGCTCACACTCTCTTCCTGGTGCCCTCCGTCTCACCCCGTCACTCGTTTTCGGCGCTTCTCATTCCTAATCGATACCACTTGTAACCTGTCCATCTTTCGTCATCCACTGTCCCCGAAACTCTGCTTTGACTGCGACACTCTGTCGATCCACGAACAGGGCCTCCTGAACCTTTTTCAGCCCTTCTACGCAGCTGCGGGTCATCACTGTACCCGTTGTACGACATTACGCCGCCATGCGTCCCTCGGCAGGCATCATAGGCCTGCTGCTCATAGCCGTTCCGACTGTACTTGCTCAGGGCAACAACGCACCTAACGCGCCCAACGCACCCGACGGGACAACCACGACGCAACCAAGTAATACCGCTGCAACAACAGCACCTACGGAACGGCCCACAGAGGCTACAACAACAACAGCCAATGACCAGACTACACAGACGACCGCGAATACCCAAACCTCACAAACCGCTACTTCCGCGACTACCGAGGCTGCGTCAACAACGCAGACCCAAACAGGATCGAGAAGTGTTTTCAATCTTGCCGGAGCTCCCACACTTGCCGGGGTTGGTATTCCTGTCCCCAAGATTCCAGACACATCCGGGGCGGCGTTTATGCAGAAATCGAGTCTCCCTGATGGAACTGTTTTCATCTGTGTTGGTGCTATCCTCGCCTTTTTCGGCGCCGCTTTGATGGCATGGCGTGGCCTTGTTGCCTGGTCGCTACATCGCTCCGTCAAGCGTGCAGCACTGAGCCAAAACATGACTGACGTCAAGTCCATGACAGCCATGCCTCCTAACAAACGAGGGATGTACAACGTTGTAGGTGCAAACTCTACCATGTCTCTAGATCGCTTAAATGCCGCACCAATTGGCAAGTCTTCAAGGCCTTTTACGGGCGCTCCCACCAGTTCATCCCAGAGGCCCGTGTCTTCTCTCTTCTTCTCTCCTACTGCTGGTGGCGCCACTGGCATACGGGATTCAGTAGTCAACCGCTCTTCGGCCTACCTCCCTGCCGGATACTATGCCTCTGGTACCTCAGCGCCTGCTTCCGGATCACCCCAAATGAATGTCGGTGGCCAAAACTTCAACAACCTGTCTGCACTGTCTCTCTCAACCCCAGGAAATCGCTTCAGCGCAAGATCCGGCACTTCGCCTCCAGAGTCGCCCTCATTGCCGCCTTCTCGCGGAGGATACTCACGCGCACCTCCATCTCGAGAAGGCCTCTCCGTGTACAAACGCAGCAGCGTTGCTACCCTCACCACTCCGGGAAATACACGAAGCGGTGTCTTTGGCCAAGACAACAACCCCAGCCAGCTATCGCTCAACGTACCAGGAGGCACAAACGTCCCTGGTGGCCGCACCCCCAGCGGCTACCTCGAAGACTTGTTTGAACACCACGGCACTAACGGCAACAATGGAACCGAACGATTCTAGCGGGATCTCGAGCAACAGCCGACGAAGCATCGCGTGTCCAGTGACAGCAGCACCGTGTCGCCCCGCCGTTCGTCGAGCGTGTACCGTCTTGCCTCTGCGGCACGCATGGAGCGTCTGAGGCCTTGGTTTTCTTTATCTGCATCGTCAACGGGGGAGTATTATCGTCTTCAATAGAGAACAGAAGAAAAAAGAGAGAAAGAAAAGGAATGGAGCGTGTAGAGTGTGGGGCGTGTGTTGGGTTTAAGAGAGTGAGAAGCAGAGTTCGGAAGAAAAGGAGCAAGAAAACACACCCACATTGTTACCGTTTCGCGTCTTGTCCTTTTGTTGGCCCTTGTTGAGGGGTGGCGCTTATTATCATCGTACTTTGATCGCGCGTGCATATCCCCATTATCGTGTTTTTTCCCTAGGGGGTAAGGCTTGGAAGGGCCCTATTCCTTTCCCCGTCTGTCCCCCCGCTCCCCCCGTTTGTGATACCTTGTACCAATTTGTTACTTCGTTTCTTTTGAACTCGTTTCTTCATCTCTATTTGCTTTTTGGCGTCCCCATCCCAGCTTGCATATGTTGTGTTACACTACACTCCCCGATGTAATGCATACAAAATGTAATGGTTGGGACGTGGTACCGTAGCCGTACCCGATTGGGGTGCCGATTAGGCAGACATGGGACTATTATCTTTTTACTTATATCTTTTTATTATTATGCATCTGCATTCATTGGGTAGTGGCCGTGTTTTCCTGTCGGGAGGTTGAGGAGTGGGCCAGTTGTGTTGAGGAATGTTGGAGGCGGTGGGAGAAAAGTAAGGAGAGGGAAGGACGTTGTACTACGTTCTTGGCATTACGGTGGGTAATAGAATGGAACAGTAATGATAGCCAAGAAAGAAAAATGAGCAAAGAAGTTTAACATGGTTGGATAAAAAATAATCAGAGAAGGTGAGGAAAACCCGAGTTACGAAACATTGTTATCTAGTCTATCACTCATGTTGTACATGCAACTGCCAAATTCCAGATGCCTGTACACGCGCCCACCCCTTTTTTTGTCTACCGACCCATCATGCATGCGTAGATCCCTACACGTTTTTGGAAACCCACCACATGCAAAGTAGTGTTTGATGTGCAAGAATGCAAGTGACTACCTTGCCCTCTTGGCCATAGCTCTGCGCTTCCTTGCCTCACCGTTAAGGTTGGACGCCGTGGCGTTCTGGATGGCGGCTTCGTCTTCGGGGAGGTCAGATGAATCGAGGAGGGGCTCGTCGAGGAGTTCTTTCTTGCCCAGGACACGTCCGACGGACTGATTGTAGGCGAACTTGGGGAGCTTGAAGAGGAGAGTGTCGTAGATGGTGGGCTTGGGTTCCTCGTTGGGCTGGGATATCGTTAGTTTACATATACCATTGAGTCAAGGGAAGAGGTGTGCACATACGTCAATCAAGAATTCACCCTTTTGGCCATCCTCAGTCTCGTGTTCCAAGAAGACATTGCCCACAGAGTCGACAACAAGAATCTTGCCGTTTTCGGCCACGATGCGCTTCTTGGCTCCCTGGGGACCAGAAACAACCTCTGGCTCGGCAGGAGCGCTGATGCCATCGGTGCGTGCCTTTCTTACAGCTTGGACCTTCTTGGGCTTGCGGGCGTCCTTTTCCATGGCACGTCGCTCGCGACGATTCCTTGGGATTTGCTCATCAGGGGTGTCGTCAGGCGAGTCAGTTTCGAATTGCTGAGCATTGACGGCGGGGGGAGTGTCGTCGATGCCTGGAATACCCTGGAGGCCACTCTCGTCGCCCCACGCAGTCTTGCGTGCTTGTCGGATATACCTCTCAGCAAACTCCCTGCGGCGCTTCCATCCCATGACGAGGGCGAAGTAGTGAAATCCACCACCAAAGACAGTAAGAAGACCGACAATGACGGAACCAAGGCCAGGGCGGAAGCGGTCGTAGTAGTATCCGGAGCCCTTCCATGCAGGGAAACCGTTCCTCAAGAAGTGATCATAACGCTCGCGTTCGGGGCCCTGAAGCATCTTGGCGACAACCGATAGCCTCTGGTAGGCGGCCGTGACCTTTTGCACATGAGCCTCGATTTCCCTGTTTGATGGCTGCTTGCCGACAGAAGTTCCCTTCTTCTTGTTCTTCTTCGCATAGTTGGCAACGAATGTCTGACGGGCCTTGTCAGGGTGGAGGTCGCGCGACTTCTTGCGGAAGGCTTTGGTCAATTGGTCCTGCGACGCGTTGGGCTTGACACCGAGGAGATCGTAAAAAGTGACATTTTGGCCCTCGACTTTGGCGACTTCGTCACGAAGGCGGAAGATTTCATGGTCTGGCGTAAGCCGTCAGCAAATAGCTTACAGGTTGTTGCAACTGGCTGCACCCATGCGCCTCGTCGCATATCTGGCCGGAAGCAGGCAATTGGACGCAGGCACAGCTGGATTAACAAAATTAGAAATTCACTCACCTTCTTTAGTCCAGGCAGCGGCGAATGCAGCGAAGATGCACAGCACGAGTGCAAGCACCGCGTGGGATCTCATGGCTGGGGGTGGTTGTGGTGGAACTGCTCGCAGGTGATAGGGAGCAGATGTTCAATAGTCGTGCGGTGAGACCGCTGGCAGAAGGGAACGTGGCCCAATGGCTCTGGGCCTGTAATAAATGAGACAGCGGCGTTGCAGCTCGCTCCAAGGGGATAAATATGCGCTCACTTGCTAGCACTACTATTGAGATTTCCGCAAAAGTCAAGGTGGCCTCCCATGCTCCAATGAAACCCGCCCATCTCAGAACCGACTAAGGGGGCCGACGGCTCGCTCGGTGGCTTGGGTGAGGGCAGCACGACCCTGAGCCACCGGATTCGCGGCAGGGGCAGGAACAGCCAACAAAAGTTGCCATATCGGCGACGACACCCATTCCACTTCCTTCTACACCACATTCTCTTCTCTTCCTCAGCCTCTACGCACGCCGCGTCACCTTCCCAAGCCTCGTGCGACTAATTCCCATCCCGTAAGGCAGCCGTTTACTACATTAATTGCCCCTCCTCCCCTTGCACTGAGGACACATCTCCAACCCGTTCTTCTCCTGCCATATCGCCAGCAGCTAACCACGGTTTCGCCTGTAGATTTCCAAGCCCAGCAGTAGGCCCTTTTTTACTCCCGACGACTATTTCCAGACATCGCTACCCAACTTCCACACACCTCCCAACTACACACCCTCCACCATGTCGCGTTTCAGCATTCCCATCGATGCGCTAACCTCGCGGATGAATTTCGGCAGTCGCTTTGACAGCCTGCGCTCTACGTCGGTCTCGTCGCGCTTCGCCAATCTGCGACCCATTGGCGAATTTTTCGATGTCAAGCGCATGTCCAAGCCCGCCAACTTTAGTGAAGTTCAGAGCAGAGTCAACTACAACCTGGGCTACTTCTCAAGCAACTATGCTGCTGTCTTCGTCATGCTCAGCATATACAGCTTGCTCACCAATCTGATGCTCCTTTTTGTCATCTGTCTGGTCGTCGGAGGCATGTACGGTATCGGCAAGCTCGAGGGCAATGATCTTGAACTTGGCAGCTGGCGCGCAACCACTTCTCAACTATACACCACGCTGTTCGTCATTGCAATTCCTCTCGGTCTCTGGGCCTCACCCTTCACCACTGTTCTCTGGCTCATCGGAGCGACTGGTGTGACTGTCGTGGGCCACGCCGCATTCATGGACAAGCCAATCGAGTCAGCTTTTTCCGAGGAGGCGGTCTAGGTGGTCGGCCGCGAACTCCTTACACTATGCCCCACTGGGGAAGACCACCAGGGGGCTCGTCGGGTGTGGGGAGATACTTTGAGGGAGTGGACGACGTGCATAGATTTCAAGAATTGTCAAGCGATGACGAAAATGGTGGTGTTACAATAGACGGGGCGTTTGAACCGGCATTGAATGGCAAGAAGATTGATCCAGATGAGCTATTCTTCAATGATATGGATATTAGAGCGTGGGAAAGGAGGGCATCAGCTTTAGCGGAACATACGCACGGGCCTGTGCATGGTTATCGAGGTTATCATGAAGAGTACTTTGGCGAACCGGGCGAAACAATCAACCCGGCCGAAGTGGAAGAGATGCTCTTTCGGCGGGTACTTGACAAGATCCGCGTAGCCAGGGCAGCAGGGAATACAGATGTTTCACTCAGTGCGGAAGAACTCGACGCATATCAATCACGACTCTATGGTGCACGAGCCCCAACGGTACGTCCCGAGCCGCAGCCTCGACCTAGCAGTGCTTCATCACCCAACGACACCGCTAGTGTTTTGAGCTACGATGCGACTGGGAAGCATGATGCTTTGTCACGTTCAAAGAAAAGCCAGCAGCGAACGCCGATGCTCGGCTCCAAGTCCAAGAAGGAAAAGCGGCCGAGTGCGCACAAACGTACGTCGACTGCATCCACGACAGAAAGTCATGCGATGCCGCCAGGCTTCATTGTGCCTGGTCCAGACGGACAACCTAATTATGCACCGATTAATGCATATGAAGGCAGTCTGGTCCGTGGGCAAGGACTTGTGCATCCAGCATCCCGTTCGGCGTCTGATAATGGCCGCCACGTAGCAATGCCTCTGCACCGCGCTCCTTCCATCAATATGCTAGGCTCGTTTCCGGAATCGGTTTACGACTTTCAGCCTGAATCGCCTCCGGTGCCAGACAATCAGACATCATATCGACAGGCAGCCTACCAAGCTGATGTGCCAGCTGACGCCCGCCCTAGATCATCATCTATTCAGTCTGCCCGCCTTGTGCCATTCCCTGTGGAGCCGTACCAGTATCACAACTTTAGTCCAACTTCGTCTTCATCGCCAACTTCGCCTCAACCGCAATACACTCGAAGTCTCAGCTCGGTGGTTTCGGAGGCCAGCTATGCGTCAGTTCCACGGCGTGTCCCCCCGGCTCCTCCTCTAGCACCTGCACCAGTACCGGTACGGCGAGTGGCAGATGTTGCTGTCAGTCAAGACGGACGCAACAATGTAGTAACTCCGAGCACACAGCCTTCTAGCTCCGCGATTGCTGTGCAAGTTCAAGGAAAGACAAAAGACAGTGGCAGTAGCCACGGAGGTGAGCGGCGGCGCAAGGGAGGTAAAAGTAGTAAGAAGAAAGGCTGAGAGGGTGGTGGTGTGCTGCTACCTCGTCACGAGTCGAATCTTGATTCTCGATGACTTCCCGATGTGGCGTGTTGGATTCAACTATCTAGTATCTTGGTGAGTGTTGGATGACAGCAGACTGGAGTTAGACGTAGCCACGTATGTAGTGGGCCCTTTTGTATTCGTGGTGTCCAAGTAACTCTATGTTTTAATTTTCTCCACTACCTGTGTGCTGTCCCGAACAGTCAGCCGATTTGAGCGTGCAAACGGCACCAGGGCCGTCTCAAGAGGGCAAAGACAGCATGCAAGAACGCGTCCATATGCTGGATCGAGACCCCTGCACGACTTGTTGAATACCATGTTGCGTATGCTGCATCTGCAACGGTTGGTCTCGAACGTCTGTCTTGCATTCCTGACCCATTCGTGGCACAGGGATGGTGAGCGCGGGCCCGCACAAGGAAAGGATGCACAACGACGAGGTTTCTTCTTCCCACTACCGTGCGAGGGATTTTTTTCTCTCTTCTTGGATGAAATCAGGGAAGCGGGACGGACACTCTGGCGGCCAGCGTCTTTTTGTCGTGTACTACTAAATACACTGGCTGTCTAGCGGGTCGTGCATAAGGGTTCACGCACAACATCGCACACGTGCATGTGCACAAGTAGGCCAGATGGCTTCGGCACAAGTTGCCAGCCGGCCCAGTTGGGGGTGCCGGGCGGCAACGTACCTGCAGGGATGGACAGTAACGTGAGGCCAAAGAGGCCCCAAGTCAGCAAAGAGCGGTCAGTTAGTACCTCCAAGCGTGCTGCGAGTCTGCGACGATCATTCCTCCGCTCCACAAGTTCGCGCGCATATCTTTCACCAGCCCGAGCTGTCACCCGTCGTCCTCGACCAGCCAATTCGTTACCCCAACCGTGCGAACGAGACTGTATTTATGGTCCCTTTGCCGCGTTGACGTGGTCCTTGTCAAGTCATTCACTTCTCCACCCGCTGCGCACGGCCACGCATTTGGTGCCATAGCTTTGTTTGGGCGACGATACATACATATAGGGCTGTCACCGATTATTCTTGTCTGCTCGCCTCGTAAAAAAAACGGGGCTAGCTAGCTGAGCCGAACCGACCGCCCAAGAGCCCGACATCAGATTGGGCAACAGAAACGAGGCAAAGAAGAAAAGGCCAGTACAGACGACAGAGAAAGAGACTGACAAGATTGATTGAAGCCCAAAAGAGACCCACTTTCTTCACCGGCATTACCACTGTCTTTTGAAACAAGGCCGCCATCCAAGGCTTTTAGTGAATATCTTGTGCTGGCCAACCTGCAACTCTGACAACAACAACAACCAACATCAAAAACAGTCATACTTGCAGTTGTTTCACAAAGGCATCGCCACATCTGGGCCAATCCGTCCCATCACAATCGGTCACCACTGCATCTGAATGCGCTGGGCCGACAATTACACTTTACAGCACCGCATCCCGCCTTCGGTTGCCCGCGCCCACGCCTCTACTAAACAAGGTCCCGCCTCCACAAAAAGCGACTTGCCACTCACTGCCTGTCTCCGACCAAAACCAATCCTCCTTCTTCCTGCACCTGCATCCTCATCCTCATCCTCGACTCCGATCTTGACCCCGGGCCCCAACAATTCTAAGCATCCACGCGCCACCATGGGCAGCAGCTGGAACCCCTTTTCCGTCTCGCCCAACCGGCGCTCGTCGTCATACCGCCCGGGCTATGCTTCATCGTCGTACTCGTCGTCGTCGCGCCACCACAGCTCGACATCGCGGTACAAGCGCTCGCCCCGCGACAACTACATGCAGCACCTGTACAAGAAGCTGCAGCACTTTCTGCGCGAAATCTGGCGCTACGCCCAGCGCCACCCCTACAAAGTCTTCTTCATGATCATCATGCCCCTCGTCTCCGGCGGCGTCCTACACAAGCTCGCCCGCCAATTCGGCGTCAACCTTCCCCAAATGGGCAACCAGCCCCAGCACCGCGGTAGCACCGCCGGCGGATACTACGGCAGCCAGGGCTACGGCCGCGAGACATATACCTCCTCCCGACGGAGCGCCCCCTCGGCAAACGCCCCTGCCAACGGCGGCGGAGGCATGATGGCCAGCCTGCAAAACATGGACATGGACAAGGTGGCTGGCGGCATCGGCGGTCTGGCGACCCTGGCGAGTATGGCGTCTAAATTCGTCTAGCGACTTCCATCAGGAGATGAAGGGTTGACCATTTTTCCCAATCTAGGAACTGCGGAGAATATTTTTACTATTGCCAGAGTCGTTGGCAGCTTGTCTAGGGGTGACATGGGGTCGTTTTGACCACTTAAGAGCTTGGGGATGTGTGAAAGAAGAGATGGAGGGGGAAAGATGAGAAGAAGAAAGAAAAAGGCACTGGAAAGAGATGGGGATATACATATACGCGTGCTGTACGACTTATGATGGATACGATTTGGAAAGTGTTGCATTTTTTGGATCTATCTAGGTTCATATTTTCTTTGGTTTTCTACTTCTTTATCTCTTATTTCGGAAATTATCGCTTGTTTGTTTTGTTTTGGTGCCAATTTTTTTTTGGCTTTAGAGATATCCCTCCCTTATGAAGAGGTTAGGCTGTTAAGCCTTATCCCTACTTTCATGAGGCGCAATTGCAAAATTATTCAACTTCGTTCTTCGGTTTTCCACGCTGCCCATAAGATGTCACTTCCTGCCCCAAGTTCAGAGGTGCCCCATCATATTCAAAACGTCATATCGTATTCGTATCCCAAACTGAACCCAAGGACAAATATGAAAAAAATGTCCGAAATCATTTCCCCTTCTCCAGGATATCCCATCGTCATCATCTAATCATCATAACCTTAGGCTTGCCCATTTCGCGCCCAAACCTCACCAAAAGCCCAATCTCGTAATCTCCCAAACCCCTTAGGCAGAAACCACATTAGCAAACACCTTAGCCGCAAGGCTACTCAACAGCCTCGCCTTATCCGCCTGCGGCATCTCCTGAAAAACCGCATAGACACTCTTGCCCTTGGCATCCCTAACCGCGCCCAATCGATTCCCCGCAACAGCCCCCGCAACCATACCGGGAAAATTGGCAACAATGAATCCCATAGCCCCACCACTCAGCCCGCCGACTAAACTCCAGAACTTGCCTGTAGGATGGGCCTCTGCATCCGCCATGCCCTCTTCGCGCAGCATCTCCTCAAAAATGCCGCCGAACTGCTCTTCGGAGAAGCGGTTGTGCGATTCTTCCGTTGTGCCTGCTGGAGCAGATCCGAAGCCGAAGGCTGACCAAGGGAAGCCTTGGGCGAATCCTGTACCGGCGCCCGCGTTGGCGTTGGCATTGTGAGGTATCTCCTCGTCAAACTCCGGGTCGGGCGTTGCGGTGCTGCCTGTGAAGCTGTTGTATGTGCGTGCGGCGTCGTAGTCGCGGCGGCGCGTGGCGTCCGAGAGCGTGTAGTATGCATCGTTAATCTGCTGGAAGCGCTTTGTGCGGCTTGCGCGCTCGGGCGAGTCTGAGGGCACGCGGTCTGGGTGGTGCTTTAGTGCTGCTCTGGTGAGGTGCACATGATTTGTTAGAGAGTGGACGTTTTCTTAAGGTGTGAGTGTAGTAGAGGCAATGGTTACTTTTTGTAGGCATCGCGGATTTGCTGTTGCGAGGCTTTGACGTCGATTTCGAGGACTTTGTCTGAGATGCTGTGTGAGATTGCAGTGATACGGAGTGGATTTGTGTGAGTGGCTTACAGTAGTCTACGGAAGATGCTGTGGAGTGTTAGCTGAAGGTCTGCCCGTTAGGCTGCTGTGAAACTCACCCATGATGCACAGGGGCTTGATCGACCGAAATCTAGAGATACGACTGTCTAGAACTTAGGTAAGAAGTAACTTCTAGTGAGGCGTCAGGTAGATTTCTTGGTATTGTAGAGTGATAGGTGGTAACGTGGCGCATGGTGGGAGTCAAGATTCAGGTACGCGGGTTCAGATAGCAATGACGTAGACGCGAACTTGATCCACGTTTGCACGTGAAGTAATCGTTTTTCGACTGCACTCCAAAAAAAGACCAGCATATATTGTTAACTCGTGTAATTAATACTAGCCTGATCTAGTCGAACAAGAAACATGAAACAAATGTCCAGCATACAAGGCTACAGAGAAGACGCATTCGTCCCCAGCTACCAGCTACCAAGATGCCAACATGACAGACAGCACATGAACGTGGCATCCAGAAATAACCACTTCTCATACAGACTCAATTACAATGAGATAGCAACTATGATCATAGGTAATGTGGCACCGCTCCTACCCACCAGGTATCATACAACAAGTCAGTCTCCCAAAACCTTCTAGCACAACCCGAAACACTCGTTCAATATATCCAATATTAACTTTCCTCCAAAATTAGAAACATGCTACTTTAGCTGTACATCAACGTCATGCAATCTAGCAAGTATCTTCAACGTCGGAAGCTAGAGCTTAGTCCAGAAAAGGCATCAGGCGAATGACGTCCACCCATTAGTCCAGAAAAATCTACACTCTCGTTGCTAACATGTCTCACACCCGGTGTCTGTGCAGCAGACAAAGCTTGGCCTTGGGGCGCAGCAGACATGCTAGCAAATGGATTCGACTGGCCGGGTGCTTGAGTAGCTGGTGCGGCTGGTACCGGAGCCTGTGTACCTGTTGGTTGAACTTGTTGCTGTGCTGGCTGCTGAGATGGAGCCTGTGGTTGGTTGTACAAGGAGAGAATCGAAGCGTTCTTATCAAATGGGTTGGAACTTTGTTGCTGGTACAACTGTTGTTGATTCTGGAAGCTTTGCTGCTGGCTCTGGTAGTTTTGAACAGGGGTCTGGATCTGGGCTTGGTAACCAGATTGATTTTGCCAAGGGTTTACTAACTGGGAAGTTGGAACTTGACTTTGTTGTTGTTGTTGCTCTTGTTGTTGTTGCGACCATGGATTAGGCATCTGCTGCTGAGATGTAACTGACTGTGGCTGCGTTGCCTGCTGCTGGAAGGGCGATTGTCCAAAAGGATTCGAGTTTGCGATATTGGTTGGTGTGAATATTTGGCTTTGGGACGACTTTAGGAAGGGGTTTCCTGGACTTGAAGGGCTGGACATGGACTGGTACTGCGGTTGCTGTGGCGCCATGAAGGAGTTGTACTGCTCAGGTACCTGTGGCATAGAAGGTTGCGCGAAAGGTTGGAGATATGGGTTTGTTTGAGCGTACGAGATTTGTGATTGCCCATAACCGCCGGTTCGGTTTGGAAACAGGGGTTGTTGAGGCTGCAAACTCGAAACTTGCATACCTTGGAAAGATTGTTCGAGGCTCTGCTGCTGCTGCTGCTGTTGCTGTTGCTGTTGCTGTTCCCAGGGATTTGGCAGGTATCCAAGGCTTTGCTGTCGTTGTTGTTGTTGCTGTTGCTGCTGCTGCTGCTGCTGCTGCTGCTGCTGGGGAACCTGCTGCTGGGTATAACCTTGGGATGCCTGTGATAAAAACGGATTGTAGGAATTCGAAGGATACGAGTGCTGTCCTTGAGCTCCCCCATATAATGCCTGCTGTTGAGGAGCCTGCGCTTGTGCATCTAGTGCATCAAAGGGATTCATAGACGATGAGGCGGCGGGTGCATTGTCGAAAGATAAACCGTTGGCCACAGGCTTCGTAGGCGGAGTTGGTGTGGTACTTCTTGATATGACGGGATTTTGTTCGCCCAGTCGGATCAGAGCCTCGACTGCTCGATCGAGGTTCCCATTCAGACCCTTTAGTACAGTGGAATTGCGCTTCTCATCCGGAAAGCCCATGTCCCGAAGTGTGGTTAATTTGGAGTCCATGCCGTCGCCTGATGTATGTACATTGGAGCCAAACACGCGTGAAGGCTTGTTTACTCGGGGCGGGGACAAATCTTGTCGGAATTCTTCGAGGCCTGGGGAGATGGGAGGTGTTATGTTGCGCGGCGAAGTTGCGGCTTTACGCAGCCCGAATCCAAAGCGACCACTTGGCTTCGGTGGTAATGGCGGCGGTCGGTCTTCTGAGCTCGTGCTACCCGTGTTTTGTCGTGTGCCTGGCCGTGAATCGTTGAGGTATATTCTCTGCTCGTACTTTGCCCTGATGTACCGTTCCATAGCACTGTCTACCTCGTCGATATCGATGGGCATTTGCGGCTTGACGTTACGGGGGTTGTATGTCTTATTGGACTCGACATTGCCGATGCGCTTCATGTTCTACAGCATTGATCAGCACCCATGCCTCCATACTGCGTGTCGCGTCTCTTACATCAACTTGGGCGTTGTCCCACTTGTCCATGCTCAGCGACTTGACTTTGGAGATGTGCGTGCCCAGCTTGCGATGCAAGGCTGCGCATCGCATGCACAGGAAGATGCCCAGCTATAGCACATGTCAGCGTCCGGTTCGTAGTCGGGAGATGGGTGTCGGGACAAGGAATGTGGGAGACTCACGCTCCAGCTTGCCCATCCTGCGTAGCCGTTGTTAGCGTGTGTGTGGAACGAGATGCGCCTGGGATTGCATACCTGGATTGCGCGCGCCGCAGTCTGCGCAGTTTCCATTCCCAGGAACCGACTTGATGAGTTCCTGTAATGTGCGCTCGTTACGCGCCTGCTGGCGTTTGTTCAGGGCAGACGCCATGTCGTGTCGAGAGAGGAAGCAGTTGGGCGTCGGAGGTAGAGTCGGGAGATCGGTTGAAGGTGCACGGGAGCAATGCGCGGGGAGAAAGGGGGCTCGAGGGACGGCAGGTGGCGCGTTGGTAAGATGACTATGCGAAAAAAGACGTTTCCATGGCAAAGGTGGACATGAGCAGAGAAGGGGCAGACGGTGAAGGGGCACTTAGTTCAAACGCAATGACGAGTAGCCCATCCGTTCCATGTTCACACATGGCATCCCGCAAAGCTCCAGAACCCTGCGTCTCGGCGGCTCGGGCTATATACAGCACCACGCCCCTGTCTGAGCTTTGCTACACTCCACCAGAGGCGTCGTCATGGCCACACGAAAGGGCGATCAGCTACGGGCAGCACAGAGACGATTTGCCCACGCGACAATGCCTTGGTGGGTGGTATTGGACACGGCCTCCGTACTTGGGCCTCTCCCAAGCCGCCGATGCTGCCGACACGCAATGCAAAGGCCCGTTAGTTGCTGATGGATTATTACCAGACACGCCTGCAGACTCAATGCTCATCTCCCGCTCCTCTGGGCCAGCAGCACCTATGTATGTACATGGACTTTCCGCTGTGTCAAGTCCATTACGCGGCTGGCACACGACATTTGTTTACATAGGTGTATGCATCGTTTAGTATGCTGTACTCTAACGGGAGCTCAAGCACGTAGAGGTATGTATGGTCACGCAGGTGGCTTCAAGCAGCATTGAAAAGGATGCAAAAAGCCTAAAAGTGCCGGGTTCATCTAAGACGCAAATATGACAACTATAGAGATTGCAAGCTCGGTATAGCCGTTGATTAATCGTCCATTTTTATGATTGTGTGTAAAGAAGAGAAAGTCGAGTCGGAGCTGCAGTGAGAATTTCAACGGCACACTGCCAAGACAGCTGACAAAGCACATGGTCCAAGCGCGACGGGTTTTCTCCCACTTCAAAAAAGAGCAAGCTTGCCGTCTCTTCTGCCTCGCAACAACAGCTTGAGCTGTGTGTACCGCGAGCAGCACGTGCTTCCCATCCTCAACGATTCATGTCTGTCGTTTGGCGAGGCGCTGCTGCCCTACACAGCCCATGCTGTCAAGCCACCATTGCCTGCTCCCAGGTTCAGTTCTCTATGGCCTGGAAGCAACATTTTCTCTCGGTGGAAGATTAATATTGGTTTTTAGCAGAGCCGTGTCTTCTCCACCCTACCCATTGCCGTCTTCTAGATGTGTAGGACTATATTTTGACATACATTCCTTTTCATAAATTGCATACTGTGTGAAATTGAGCGTGTACTGGCCATAGGCTCGTTAGCCATCAAAGTACACGCTCGCCTGCATCCAGGCTGCCCACACCACAGTCAACCCCACTGAGCAGGTTATAAGCCGCCAGAGGGAAACCCTTGGGCGGTTGCAAAATCAAGTGCGTTTGATGCGGCTATGGTCTCTAGTGCCCTCAATCCCATGGCCAAATGCACTTCCTCATACCTGTACACAGCACATGTACCATACCATTAGTGATCTGGTTCGCTGACTACTGTACACACGTGATCACACCATGTTATGGAAGTGTATGCGAGCCAGCTATACGGTCAACATTGCAAGTGAGTCCAAAGGATCCGCCACGTTGACGGCACGGCAGACGCCGTCTTCGGCCAGCCCAGACATATCGAGCTCAGTGCCAGAAAAAATAGACACGGCATCTTCACCACAACGGCATCTCACCTTTCCAACAACGGCAGGCAAACGTCCACAATGTGGGTCGATGCACAGTAGCATGGCGACCACGGCGGTCAGGAAACCCTTGGGCCTTGTGCTTCACCACACACGGTCGAATCAGAAAGGATTACACCTGCCTAGCCGTCCTTGTTAGGCTTAGCGAGCCAGACTCCGACCGCAGCTTCCACCATGCCTACTCATCGCCGACTGTTCGCTCCTTCCATACAGGGCCTTGTGCCTTGCTATGACCTCGCACTGAACAGACTGCCTTCGCTCTCCTATGACGGTCTTCCTTGCCATGAGCTCCACTCAATCATTACTTCACAGCAATCACATCGCCAGCAAAACCAGTGACAGTTGTATGGCCTATCACATGGATCTGCCATCATGCTGAAGTGCTCTAAAAAAAAGAATACCGCGAATGACTGCAACTACTTCTGTTATGCCACGACGTCGCTGGGCTGAGTTTTGGCAACACAGTCAGCTAAGGCCAATATAGAGACACGAGCAAAACCACCATTTCGGCCCCAGGGAGCGTGAGGCTGAGACGCTGCGTACCTTCAGGTGTCACTCGATTCACCCGTCGACCGGTAATGATGCAGTATTGGATGGATATCTACTTTTGATTGGCTACACGTCGAATATCTTGTACGGACGTACCAATAGTATCCTTTCATCTACTCGATCGTCATCCCACTGTGGATTTGAGCACAGGCTTTCATGTACGATGTTCCCCAGTTCCCGTACTAGCCGGACGCATAAGCCGGGCTGCAATGGCATGGTCAGCTTCTACGATGACGACCCCTGTCCACGCAATTGTTCCGTAATACCTGACGAGCAGTTTTGCTATCCACAGTGCTGGATTCCAAAGTCTGCCGCAATCGCTAGCAGATCATCCCCTTTCAAGCACATAGTACTCTCCGCTAGCTTACCCTATTTCCCAAAGCCGTCAACGTGCCTAGTTTTACAGCAAGCGAAGGATGCTGATGTCTTGTATCGCCTCAAACACTATGATGCCAACCCCACCCTACACCCAAAAGGGAGTTGTATCGGCACCGGGCGACAGCATAAATACTAATCCTGCGCCCCAGTTCTAGAGCGCAATAAATGATACTCCACCAGATCCGACAGCTCAACATACCATTGAATATCTAATACAAACTCGTCCAGCTCTTTTTTTTATTCACCAATTCTTGTGGCTCAAACAAGGGCAATAACAATTGAGTCTGGGGATTTGGTAAAAGAAAACCTCGATTCGCGTGTAGAACTTCAACGCTCCTACTGTACGCATAGATGACTTGAAGAAGCACGCTGAAACTTACTGTTGAAACAGATCTGTACCGTTTAATCGAAACGCCCCATCGCTGCGACCCACTCCGGCAACCTAGGGTCATACTGTATCACTCCACTCATGTGTGCTGAGGACGTGTATCATAACCAGCGGGTCAGTCCGCAACAACTAGTATCATCCACCAAGGAATCGTCCACACATAGTGGGCAACCCTCAGAAACTGACAAGAACGATTGGTCCGACGTCAGTGACCGCAGTGTGCGACGAAAGATACAAAACAAACTGGCTCAAAGAAGATTCCGTTAGTAATATGCTCCAGCTTCGATTGCTTAAGCTAAAGGTAGTGAAGGTGACAGAATAAGGGAGCAGAGGGAGGAGGCCGAACGAGACGAAGAGAACCAACGAAAAGCCGGAGCCTCATACGCACAGCCAAAGCCGGAGGAATTGGATACCGACCATAATCTTTCAGGGTTACCCTGGGGTGGCATTTCGATGAGACACATGGTCGAACAAGGAAAGCACAGACGTCAAGGCTCACAAAAAGACATGAATAACGGCTCTACTCATCACAATGAATCATCCTTTGAGGAAAATAGCAGTAAGTGATGATATGGTATGACGACACTTTTGGTCAGTGTTCAAGTAGACTTACTTTTTAGGGTGGGCCTTCTTTTAAAGCCGAAAGGGCAACCGCATATCGATCTGATCAACCCGGAACGACTGCATGGACTCAGGGATCCAGAGCTCTTAGTATTCCGTGGCACCGCTTTTTTCCCGCTGTAAGCGCGAGGCCCAAGTCATGGGTGCTTTTGAGGGTGTCGTGGTGTCACTACCAAGTATTGAAAGCATTTGATAATGCCCGCAGATCGCCAACTCCTTCTCCACCAACATACTTGCTACACCGAACATTTTTGGGGGCTTGTCTCAATTCGGGGCTCACATAAATCGCAGCTCGGTCATCGTTGTTGTTGTTTGGGGGGCTGTTCCGCTTCGCTCACACGCGCGGCGGTTACTCGAAACCTCTGAATGGCCGACTCCGGATTTTCTCATGCAAGAGGCACAAGTTTGCCCCGCCTCTTTTAATTAAAAACGTTGCTGAAGACCAAGTGCGAAACGTGATAGACTGTGTCGTGTGTTGGAGTTCGTGGATCTGTCATAGCCAGAGGTATGAATCGTCAGCGCGCTTTGATGGACATGGACCACTTAATCCTTGGTAAACCGCACCACCATTCTCTCATGACGGCGTATGTCCGATGGCTAAGCCCCAATTCCCTTCTAAAATAAACATTATCCAAAGGCCATAGGACGCAGAACGACGACCTCAGCTGTAGTGGAAGCTTGCAAGCTACCTAGGCCTGCGATGTGCGACCCAAGGCACTCTCAGCGGTGTGGGTGTCGTCGACGTGCGGCGCGCATGATATATCCATTAACGTGGTCAGAAGCTTGACCAGAAGCGTATTACTCCTCCCACTTCAGTCAGCCTTATACCAGGCAGAGGTTCAGCTAGTGACTGATGGATGCAGGGGTTCGGTCGTGCCGCGAGGCTGAGCAGAAGCTAGACCTACCTACGTCAGTTCTCAGCTTTCTGCCATTCCAGGCCAGCGCTGCCTGCAAACCCAGTAGAGCTCGCTGCCTGGCTTACAACTATGCTAATTATCCGAGACAGCAAGCATCCTCGCATACTAGCCCTCGGTATGTATTCGCGTTTGCATCAATTTGTTGTTCCTGCTGCAAGCTGGATCACGAGCCTCGCCCCCACTGCGGTGCGCGAACATTGTGCCTTGCATTATCACTCCAAGTCAGCCTGCGATAACTGAGCCCGACCATTTAGCGGCATTTGTGAGATGAAGGTACGGCGGTAAAACGAGATAATTGTCTGGACAAGGCAATCCCTCGCTCATCGGCCGCCCTTAATTTAACCATATAGGGAAAAGGCTGTGTCGCTTCGAAGCAAGCAGTACGCCTCTTGATGCGGCGTCATTGGCGCATTGCCAGTGTTGTCCGTGAAAAAAGTGGATATTATGAAAGTTATGTTGTCCAGAAACAGACAATTGACGCAACAAAGAGACCAATGTATGCGGACTTGCGGCAAACGTCCGTCACCATGCCACCACACGCGCTCCAGTCAGCCAGGCAGAAATGCGGCGTCGACATCTTTTCTCCTCAACTTCGGCTCTGCCCGAGCAAGCCACATCCGCTCCATACGTCTCAACGCTCTGAGGCACGGATGTGCTCCTCGTTAAGCGCCGTCATGAGATGGACCGTCTTCTCTGCCTACACGATGGATCAGCTAAGGTTGTGGCGTGGAGCCCGGGGATGCCGGGTTGGTATATAGTCCATCAACTGGGCTTTTAGTATGGAAGCACCCCAATACGAAGACACTCCATGTCAGCAGAGCAATTTTCAAAACTCTCTCTAGGAGGGGACATGGTAACCACTCGTGCCGGAGCTGCAAGGGCAGCGAGAGCCAACTCACAATTGTCCAAATCAGAGCACTCCAACCAAGACCAGCCACTACCATCAGTTGAGCCTACTGTTTCTCCTACGCCTTCACTTGTTATATCCACCAAGAATCTACAGTACAATGTCTCGGCTTTCGACAACGACCTGCGTAGGAGAGCGAGGAAGGGACTGGAGGGTAAAGACATCAGAATGAAATACTGTGCCATCTCTGAGGATGAAGAAAGTCCGGATGGAAGCCCTAAGAAGTATTTCTATCTTGACGATGATATCACGGTAGCCATAGGAGGAGAGTTGCGGAGACCGAGATGTTCATGTGGTGCAAACGAAACTGGCATTGCGTGCAAGGTATGCTTGTTCGTTAAAATCCTTCTGAACACCGAACTAAGCATTACTTGAAGCACATTTATTGGGTTGGAGACCAGATCATGTCGACTGCCTACGACGATATGGTCAAGACGCCTCTTCATCTTTCACCGGACGGCTCCAAGATTGAAGACGTAAAGCCGGATAATATACTGGATACCAAAGGCCTAGTTAACATCGCCAACGATCTGAAGTGGGTTTACCGAGACGACGAAATGCCCGAGGACGACGAGGATATGAGGGAAGCGATTACTGACATGCTTTCTTGTTTCGCCCCTCAAGAAGAATTACCTGGAGAGTTCAAATGGCCCGAGTCGCCACTGACATCTGAGCGCTCGAAAAAGTACCAAGATCTGGCGGACCTCATTACCGAATATGCCAATAGAGACGCTAGCTTGTATCTTCGGGTGCGTCGAATAATTGATCCAGATTTTGAAAGTCGCGTTTTCTTCGAGAAGGTCGACAACCGTATCGAGTCGACCTTCAATGCGCTGGAGGAGTACATTGCCAAGGGCCCGACCACGAATTCATTCCCGGATGCACTCCGTTTCGATGTGCCTAGCTGTGCAAAGAAGCTTAAGGCACTGGTCTGTGCTATTGAAGATTTTTACCAGAACCACTCACACGTTGAAGACGTAGCTGTCCGTGCAGCTGGGGCTCTGATCAAGATCCTCGACTGCGTCACAGACCGCAATGAGAACGCATACGAGAACATCACATGGGAGTGGGAGGCTCCCTCTGACCCTCATCAGAGCAATCTCCATGTCGTGCTCATTGGAGCCTATGATGATGGCGACTCGCCGTTCGTCCTCGACGCCCTTGGGTCTTTGCCGCAAGAGGCCGTGTATCGCAATCATTGGGAGACCCTACAGGACATTGAGAAGAAGCTTACTGAGTCTGGCGCCTCGTTGCAGTACATCAATATTTTCCGCAACATTGTCTATGAGCCCCGCAAGAGGCCTGGATCCGAGGTTCGTGAACGAGAACCGAAGAGAGCGATGCAGTAATGGCTGCGATCTGATCAACAACTCGCTCCTTCACGACCTACACGATGGGAATCATTCGTAAGTTTGCTTTTTAAAGTGGCGCAACGTTTTAATATTCTCTTCAGCGTGATGGCGTTTGCGGTATATTGCGTTTCCCGCACTTTTACCGTTCCTTTCTTCTTGTCCTTTTCTTGGTCAGCTAATTTCTTCTCATCTTTCCCTGCCAGTTGATGGCCGTCTATAGTGACGGTTTCATCGCACTGCCTTTCTCTTCTGAGGGTCGCCTGACTTTGGTCTGTCTTCGCAACTTCAGTTTCCCCACTTCCCCTCCCCCTCTCTTTCTGACCAACTGACTTCGGCATACGAACCTGCCGAATAATTTAACCTTTGCTTTCATCTTCTTTTCTCTTCTTTTCTCTTCTATCTTTAACCTTTTCTGGATGCTCGCCAGTACACACTTTTTCGGCTGCTTATCCGGCCACTCTGCTTGGGATTTAATTCACTTCTTACCCTCTCTGTATATGTATTTTGAGCAGAATAAGATTTAGCCTCGATTTAGCGGAACCTATTCTTATCACAACCCCGTTAAAATAAAAAGAAGCGAGTGATTGGCCAGACAGCTCAAACTTGCCGTCTCAGAGTATTGGTGATGTAAGTGTGAAACTCGGTATCAACTAATGTCGAACAACGCCATGTTCCGTCTAGGCCATGACCATCAGCTGAGTCCAGACCCCGCAAACATACAGAGCCAAACTGCTACGCCGAGAGTGACTCCAGGGGGTTGGGTGTTCGCCCGGCTACAACTATCTCTGCAACAACGCCGAGCCACGCAATGTGGAGCTGATGCAGCCCATGACAGAGCGTCATGCATGGTCAAGACGAAGACTGAAGTTTATGCAGTGCCGGCAGGATAGATTACAGAACCCTGCAAGGCGCTGTGTCAGACGGCTCTGTACACCTGTAGACAACGTAGAGCACTGTCAACTCAAGTATTACCTCTGCCCGGATGTGGGAGACCAGCGTTCGATGATGGGCAAGCCAGGAGAATCGGCGTCGGACGTCTATAAGAGCCAATCATTGGGGATCCATCCATGTGTAGCAGAACTACTTCGTCATGGGTATATGTAAGTCGCCGGCTAATCCGGTTTGCTAACTTCGTAGTGCACACTAGGAGTACACACCCTTTCACAAGCGTAATTCTCTTTGTTTTACGCTCGTGAAAGGGCAAGCCAATACGTTAGCCAGTGCCGCAATATGCAATACTCCCTATCTTGCAGAAATCTTAACGACAAGATGTGGAGTTGACTTATACACCCCAGCTACTCATTCCGTCCGCCGGATCCTTGTTGCGAGCCCCCCGCAGTAAGCGATGTATGTGACCGAAAGGATGCTTCCGCCAGGAATTCCGCCGGCCCCGTCACTATGGAACTGCCCACTTAGACTGACCGCATGACTTTCCTAAGATAACGAGCGGGAGCTCATGCACGTTCATCCTTTAGAGGGGCCGAAGGGTTGAGCAAAAAATAAAATAAAAAAAGACTGAAAAAAAAGAAGCTGGAGGCGCATGGCTCTCCGAATGCTATGTGCAGATGGCTGATATGATATACGACCCGAAAGAGATGCAGATACATGGACAAGTAAGCAACAGCAAGCATGTGAAGTGGCAAGGTGGCTCGTACGCAGTAGACGAAGCTTGTGCTAGCTAGGAAATGAAGCTTGGAGATCGTGATAGTCGTTGTGGACACTTGAGGGTGGGCCGACTGGGCTCTACTGCGGGGAGCAGCGGTTAGGCTCGAGTTGCCTGCCGACGTGGTTGGTCGTGGGGAGCGACGACTGCAACCTCCATCCACATGGCTGTCCAAGCACTGCGGGGAAACGAGATACGCTAGGCCTGTTGCGGCACTAGCGCAAAGACTATCTTGTGGGAAACGCAGCTAAGACGTGCACTGCTGCTCCGATATTACTCTCCTGTCTATCATTCCTGCTTTCCCTTCCCTCTCCGACCTCTTCATCTTTGCCTATTGTTGTTAGTCTCCTGTCACACTACTTTGCTTCAGTTGCGATTCCCCCGCCAGAGAGTGATTCGCTTATCACGCCATTAACCCCGCTGACGTACGACAATCTGAGGACCCTGTCTGTGCGCCTAGTGCCATATCAATCATCCCACCCTCCTTGCCTTTCCTCTCTATACTCTTTGTTCCACTCTGCAAACCACTCACACCATTCCGCTCTGCTGTTACTAGACCACATAAACACGCACACATATACGTACACAATCACAAACTGATCAGCATCACCCTCTCCAACAATGTCTTCCAACGACCGGAACTCCCCTCCCCTCCACTCTCCAGACCCTCGTCGACGGGCCTCAGTCACCAGCCAGACATTCCATGACCTGTTCGGCCGGTCAAACAGCATTGCAGGCCTACCGTCTGGTGTGCAGCAGTCCTCGGGTCCCATCACTACAGCTGCTGCCAACGCCCAGCGGCGAAGGCTCTCACTGACTACGATTGGTCTAGGGGCCTCGCCTGGCCAGACCTCGCCCTTCCTCCAAACCCCGCGGACCCGCACTGAGAGCATCTCTAGCGCCAACTCTGGTTCTGTCGATGAGAGTCCTTTTGAGGATGACTTCGGTCCTTCGGCCAGCAGCAACCCAGCAACACCATTTGCTCGGCGGCTGAGCTTCGGAGCTCGTGCAATGCGGGACGTCAGGCAGGGCAACGGAGGCGTTGGGAACCCAAATGGTAGACCACCCATCATCCATAAAGCTTCCTCTCCCCCGACTGGTCGAGGTCGAGGTCTGTCTTCATTGTCACAGTCATTGCCCTCATCCTCTTCACTGCTCCGCCCCTTTACCCATTCCCACTCACGGCGATCCACGTCCGTTTCGTACATTTGGCCATCAACTATTGCGGAACATGCCGAGACTGTACTTGGAAACTACTCGCTAACGTCGTCTTCAACAGGCGAGGGCTACAATTTCGCTGAGAACCTCCGATCACGAGCCGAGCGGGGATCCATTTCCGGCCCCCCTTCGACGCTGGGTATGGCTGGCCCGACGCACCACCGTGCCAAGAGCGTTACAATCATGGAGCCTCCAGTTCGTGAAATGCCCAAGCCCAAGGTGCCCGATGCCATGCAGGAGCGGATCCTCAAAGGTGACTTCTACATGGACTAGACTATGCACAATCGTTTGCCCTTCGATATCTCCGGTAGGTTCTCCGGTGTGATTCTAACAGCTGCGTAGTGACTAACTTCTGTCGTCGTTAGGACCATCTACTTGACAGATGAGACGTGAGAATGAAACCGCGACCTTGTACCACTACTCTTCCATCTGTGTAACCGAGTATCTTATGTCCCAAGATCCTACTCGCATCTAACTTTCGTACCGCCCATCTTTCACGAGCGGTCAAAACGGTTCTAGCAATTGTTCTGAATTGATACAAGGAGGCCTGCAAATGCGCACACGCGGTGGAAACCCTAATTTGCTGGACCCCGGTCACGACATACTTTCGGCCGCTTCTTCATACATAAACATGCAGCCCCTGTTAGGTGCTTACAGTCGTTTGAACACTATCCACACTGTTGAGATGGCTAGGCTTAGCTGTCATGACTTTCATGCTTTCACCTCAGGAAGTTTACCCACCGGACTCATTTTCCACGACATATCTTCCTGGCGTACTGACTATTATTACGATATCTTACTTTATGCCTGTTTTCTTTCACATGCGTAGGGACGGGGCGTACGGTTTTCGGGAGATCGGAACCAGATTGTTAAGCTGACACTGTGGCATACATTGGTGCGGCAGGGACTCTGGAGTTGACATACATATCACACGCATAGTAACAAGGCATATCGCCCGGTATGGAGCATTATAGTATCTACAGAAATTGTGGAAATTACCAGGATAGTACAGTACAGTTAAAGTATCACATGAATTATAATTGGTATGACTGCGTGCGTATACGAAGTACCGTGCTACGTACATAATCTAAGTACAAGTGTATATACACACGTTTCAGTCCAAAGGAGGCGTGCTGAGATGCGTAATCAGTCCCACTTAATGTTTCACATAAGCTCATGACAGTGGTCACCAGCGTGGGACGGTGGGTACAGGTGTGGCGACACGTCGATCATGTCGGCCTTTTTAAGCAACATGTACGGACACTGAAAAAAATGGTAGGAGTATACCGTGGTTCACGTTCATGTTCACAACCCCCGCGCCCCCCACATCACAGTAGGAAAAGCAGGAAGAAGAAAACCCCAAAATTGCAGTTTAGTCGATCAAGTTGCTCACATTGCGACCCCATATACATACAGACTATATGAATTAAACATGAAGAAATACAGCGAAAAAAATATGAAATATTGGTAGGAAGATGCTCTCGTATCATATCGTATCGTATCGTATCGTGTCGTCTGCCTCTTTGCTCCTCCTCCTTCCTCCACTCTCCTCTCCTCTCAAGAATCCCAATCCTTCAATGCAGTCATGGTATAGTACCCCTTCCCTTTGTGCAGCCAAAACGAAAAGAAGGAATGACGCCAGTGAAATGCTTTGGACAGACACGACAAAGAAAAGACAACTCGCTGGAAGACAGGACCGCATTTTGATGCCGCTAAACAAGGGGGAAACAAACGTTCAAACAAAACAAAGCAGAGATGAAGAAAAAGAAAGCATAATTGCAAAAAAGAAATGTCTGAATCATATCTCATCTCGTCTCATCTCGATTCCGTCTCATCCATTCATACATGAGAGAGTAAGTGCGTCTCCGTGAACCCCCATCCCCACCCCACATGCTAAAGGAATGTGCAGTCTTTGTTGCCCGAACGCCGGTAGATCAGAAGAAGAAAAAGAGCATGTTTTCTTTTCTTCTTCAACAATAAAGTATGCCTTTTTAGATAAGAGGGCCAGCCATCATGGGACTCATGTTCCTTGTATTGGCAGTCAAAGTGGACTCGTATGGTGCTTGTGTGCCGTTCACAGAGCCCTGTCTAGGACGGTAGTAGCTGTTGGCGTATGCTGGTGCGGGACCCGTGTATGTTCCTTGTGTCGGAGAATGGAGACTGGGAGACGAGGGGTTGTGCAAGTTGCGGTTGCTCTGACGCCGGCCAAGCACCGGTGATGCGGAGCCGCCTTGTACCGTACCCGTAGAATTGATCGATTCGTTGGAATTGCTCCTTATATGTTGTGCCGTTGTTGGCTGTTGCATCTGAGGCGAACCAGCAGGATTGGCTGGACGCTGGAACCCTTGGGTGAATGGATTGGTGCGTGCGGGGACGCTGTTTTCACGCTGTCCGAGCGCCTGTCGTCTCGTCTCAATGAGTTCACGAGCTCGCATGTTGCGTTCGTCCTGCGACAATTGGGCTGGGCGAGCAGCAGGCTGGCCAGGTGATTGCACATTTTGGGTTGGTGATGGAGGCGGTCGGCCATGCTCACTCGCACGCAGAGTACGCGTTGAGGCTTGAGCGTTGATCTGACGCCTTGAAGGCTGAGGCCGGAGGTTGAGACGGGATGGCTGAGGTCTCGCGCTTTGTTGCTGTCCTCCGGTTTCTCGAACGTTGACACGAGAATTCACAGGCCGCAAGGTGGCGACAGAAGACTCATTTCGGAGAAGCTGGCGGGAGTTGCGGTTCCGCACGCCACGTGCTTGTACGAACGCAGCCCAAGGGTTGCCTCGGGCGGCAAAGGGTGGCAAAGCCGCACCCTGAACGTGCAATCCCATACCAGCGTGAGGAAAGGAATTGACGCCAGCAAAATTACCAGAGTTCCTCCGGCTATTCGCTGAAGAGGGACGAGCACCGACACGGCTTTGCGGACGATCAATCATATCCATAGCCGCAGCAGCCTGTGTCTGTGCTATGCTATCGATAGAATGTTGAGACGTGGGAGTGGACGAACCAGGAGTCATGGTAGAAGCATTGTTATTCGAGCTAAGAGAAGAAGCACGATCAAACCGGCTCATATTACCATTATGTGCCATCGCTGGAAATCCCGGAGACATGGCGCTTCTCCGAGGCGGCGACACTGGCATGCGAGGGTCCATAGCAAGGTTTGAAGTGTTGTCCATCAACGGTGTCCTCAGACGCGCAGGGGGCAGGAAAGGAGAGTATGCTTGTGCTGGGCTTGGTCGGTTCCTGTTCCTCGTACGGGGACGAGAAAGTGGGGTAATGGCTCGTGGCTCGACATCGATCAATGCACCTGCCATCTGATGCTGCTGGAGAGCTTGTTGATGCGCAGCAAACATCCAACTAATACGCGGATCATACTCCCGACGCTGTATACGAGGAGCTCCTCGTGCATGCCCTTGCGAGGTGTCCGAGTTGTCGTCAGTATCTGCCTCGTTTGTCCCATCAACCTGAGCAGCCCCACGATTGACGAAGCGGGCGGTGGGATTTGAGAAGGCCGCCCCGTTTCGCATATGGGCTTGTGAGCGGCGTGTTCGCAAGGTATTCATGGCCAGCTCTATATCGCCATCTTGATCCGAGTCATCATCGTCTGCTTCACCATCCTCATAAGGGGCTGCTGAGCTAGGAGGAACAGATGGCCTTCGACGCAAGCCACGGGAGGCATTCAAGACACGAGTATTGCCGGTTCGTGAAGGGGGTCGGATCGGGGCACTAGGCCGAGGACGATCTGCAGTAGGTGTTAGAGAACCGCCCATTCGGCTTCTGTCATTTGAGTTCGCAAGCGGTTCCCACCCAACGGTCGTTCTTCCTCCATCACTGTCATCTTCATCTTCTTCCCCCATTTCATCGTCTTCATCCCGCTGCAACATCCATCCCTCTTCTCTCAGCAAGGCTTGAGTGTCTTCGTCAAGCTCCTCTTCATTCGAAACATCAGTAGCTACTGACGAAGCTCTATCATGAGAGGATCTTGAACCATTTGCCCGATGTAGAGCACGAGTCTGGGCCGAATTCCTCACTCCCCTGCGAATAGGCCCTGCATCTTCCTCGTCCTCGTCTTCCTCCTCTTCAACGACGCTTGAGCGGTTAGACGACGTTTCAGACTCGACGATGCGGCGTCTTCTGGCATTTGTTTGTGCTCTGCTACCAGAAGGTTGAGGCATGGGACCAGGTGTGGATGATGCGTCGCTTGGTGAGCTGGCTGCTTGGACGCCACTATCGTCGATGAAGTCGTTCATAGAAGAATCTTCATCTAGTCCTTCTTCGTCTTCCTCTTCGACTGTGTCCATCTCATCACCGTATATGTCTGAGACTATACTTTGGGTGTAAGAGCGCCGACTGCCAGCTTCGCTATGCGTGATTGGCCGGCGTCGAGCAAAGGCGGCTGCGTGAGGTGGTATTCCAGCCTCCAGGAAACGGCGCATCATTACCGAGTCGTCAGGAGGGTATGCACCCCAATCTCCCATACCATCGTCGTAGTCGTCATATTCACCATTCTCAAAGTCCATCTCGGCGTCGATGTCTGTGTCGTGCTCTGACATCTCGTCCATGTCACTGAAACCTGTGAAGCTGTCGCCCCATGAGACTTCACCCGTCTCGTCAAACACCAGTCCACATTGAGTGCAGCCACCATCTTCCAGTTCCCAGGTGCAGACCGGACAGCGGTCAACACCGTCTTCTTGATCACGGACGACTTGCAGCGACGGGCCTCGTTGATGGTGGGCGAGCCTGAAGCAGCCCTTGAAAAGACCTCCAGTGCGGGGGTCTTCGTTGTCTTTGTCCTGCTGCACAGCGTCGGCCTCATCGCTCTGCCACTTTTTGTGTTCTTCGAGGCTCTCGCCTAGCGGGAGCAGCTCGGCACGGGATATAAAGAGGCTTGTCATGTCCCGTATCTGGAGTGCAGTGTTAGAGAGGGCGCACCATGGGCATACATGGCTGGACTTGACTCACTACATAGGCGGGGGCGGGAAGGTCCTTGACGACGATGCGGCAGTCGGGACATGTCTTGCGGGCCTTGTTGCTGACGAACCAGGTGCAGAGACACTGTGCATGTTAGCAATGGGCGGCCACAGAAGAGCGAGGGCTCTGCTTACTGTGTAGCAGTACGTGTGCCCGCACGATATGGTGAAGGGCTGGTAGAGCAGGCGGTCGCAGATCTTGCAGGTGAGGTGGTTGCGGAGGCCGTCAAACTCGGACTTGAGAGCCTTAAGTTGCTGTGGCGGGCGTTAGTACAGACGGTCGCGGGGTGAGGTTTGTGGGCAGAGCAGCGCACCTCTTCTGCCCTGCTCGGCTGGGGCGCCTCGTCCTTCTTCATCAGCATCTTCTGCTTGAGGCTGTCCTTGCTGGCAGCGCGTGTGGGCCGGTCGGCGTCGGCCAGCTTCGAGGCAGAGCGACTGGCGGTCGGAGTGCCGCCGCGCCCAGCCCGTGAAGTCGAGGACATGGCGGCCGACTGTGAGGGTGTGGCGGTATGTGAAGGTGTGGTGGCCGACGTGATGGACGACGACGAATTCTTAGGGCGAGCGGTGGGCGGGGTCGGCGACGCTCGATTGTCCATGGCGGCGGGCGATGGGTCTCTCTTTTCACGGACTTGGGCAGCCGGTAGGTGCTAAGATGGAGCATCTGCTCACATGGGACTTTGCCCTTGTAGAGAAGGACTAGGAAGTATGGCTGGCAGTGGTTATGCATGCAAGTGCGGGCCTGCTAGTCGAGGTATGCTGGCGCTCGGTCACCTCTGCCCTTGCTCCCCGTCCATTTGCCGCAGCAGCCGTTCACTTCCACCCTCACCTCGTTCCGTCTTTAGCGCCAGCCCCGAATCCCCGTCGTCAACCACCACCAACCATTTCCTCGAGCTATATCAATTCCATACCATGGCATTATCCTATTGGGCCGCCCCAGCCTGTGACGGGTCCTCAACACCAATGACGTGGGCACGCGACTCGTAACGTTGCCCTCGCCAGCGTCCCGTTTTGGCCCCGACCAAAGAACAAAAGAGTTATCAACAGAGCGCCGAGGGCGTACGACCGTTGTCGAATGGGACTGCCCCTTGGCCTGGAGCCCCGTTTCTTTCTACCCATGGCGGCGAGGAGCGCGAGCGTTGCACTTGCTATTTGCTTCGGCATCACTATCCTATCTTACAGCGCACTTTACACTTAAACCTTGCATAAATCTGCAATTCGCTACTGCCTGCACTACTAAAATATCACGCTCATCCATAGTGCTTTTTGGAACCCAGTCTCTTCTCTGACCAACAAATACAGAGGATACTGCAAGGCAACCTACAGTACTTTGCCGGACCGTGATCGATGGGAATCGAGTGGCCATGACTTGCCCTCGATTTGCAACTTGCAGTCACAAGTTTTGATCTGCAAGGTTGATCCTGCGACGAGTCAAGGCCGAGCTATCTTGTTGAGCAGCTCAACTACATGTTGAGACATACCTACTCTACGGTAAGTAAATGGACAAAACATAATTGCTTTTTTTCTGGAGCAAACTCCAAACAAGGTAGACAGAGTTAGTGTTGGATACACAGTCTTTTAAGTATAAGTTCTGTTGAATGTCGAGCTTCAGATCGCCATTCGTCGTGATACGAAGAGGCGCACAGTCCTCAGCCCAAGATGATCAGAGCCAGCCCATGCTAGCCATATTTACCACGAAATACCAGGCATCCGCTTGGACCAAACCCTTGCGATACTGTGGACAAGAGACTTGGCGACCAGAATCACAATCTCTATCTCTCTATCGTATTTCGCCACTTGCCTAACGCTGCGATAAAAGTGTTGCCTAGGTTTTATCTGGTGCCTGCAAAATTGGCGTACACGTGATAGTTCAGAGTACACAACACCAAAGACGGACTAAACACATTAGAGAAGAAGAAGAAATTAACAGAAGTCATTGAATTAAGATGCTTTGACGCTCGGGTTGGGTCCCGCTGTGTGACAGGGTAGTGCCCGTTGTCGTGCATGCACATGGGGTAGACCGTCTTATCGATAACATACCTCCGCAGCCTCATTCCCAATGGTCGCCGTCCGACTTCGTTTCCGCGCCATTCATCCCCACACGTACAAGCGACTCTGCACCTGACTGGCTTTGGACATCCGGAATTGCGCAGATCCACGATATTCTCAAGATGTCGGAGAAACCCACACCTTCGAAAGCGAACGAATGGTCCGGCGACAAAGCCACCAAGTTCGACAAGTACGCCACCCTGTTGATCGAGCTGCAGCCACATTGTGGGGAAGAAGAACAAGCAACTGATATATTCCTACAATAGCAAAGCATTCAGCGAGTATTACGATCCATGTCAGGAGGCGGCGGATAGAAGCATACGGTGTTTGAAGAGGAATGGCGGAGAGAGGGCTATGTGCTCGGACTTTTTCCAGTGAGTTGGAATATTTTATATGTAAAAAACGAGAGATACTGAGGTTTCGGCTACGGTTTGAACAGTTGCAATTGATGGGAACTGATACTGACGCGTATATGAACAGAGCATATCGGGATTGCAAAGAGCAATGGGTACGTTACCTCCGCCAACTGCGCACCACATACACTCCCACAACCATCCCTTCACAATTCGTATCGATATTAACAAATAGTCACTAATGTTTATATAGCAAGCTGCAAGGAAAGAAGCTAGAAAGAACAAGTCATGGTTTGGGTGAACTGAGGACACCGGAAGTTCGAACGTGAATAGCTGTACAACATCTCCTCTCTGCATAAGCACGGCGTTTGGGCACGGTATTTTATGGCAAAAATGGGTGATTGTAGTCCATAGATTGGTTGGCCAGTATGGATATCTAAACTGGTAGCTCAATGGTCTGCGAGACAGCCAGACGCTACCAGTCTGCATTGGTCAACAGACAAGGACAGACTAGCAGTCAATGTATACTAAGAATGGACTTTATGTGATTGCAAATACAGATTGAAAACTACTACATCCACCCATACATCCATCCAGAAGCTGTGTCCATCAAGCACATAGCACCGAGGTAGCCGCTGCTCCTTGATGAGGTCAGCTATCCAGGATCTCTTCATTTGGTCACGATCACGCCATCATCCATACATGCAGCTTATCCACCTGAAGCCCTCGAAGAGGCAAAGACGTGCCCGATCAATTGGTCATACTCGTCGTACTTGCCCTTGCATGATGCACGAGGCTGTGCACTGACGATCTCTACCCCACCCCACCACCCCACTAAAGCTACCCCTCCATTGTACCCTCTTTGCTCACTTCTACCAACCATCTTTCCTTCACCTCTCCTCTCGCTCCACTTATGAGATCTATCTTCAACGTTTCTTCCTTTAACCGTCTCACCACTCGAGCTTTCACCTCAACCACACGCGCAATGGGTGTCCAGAAGACCATCATCCAAGAGGGCAACGGCCCATCCCCTCAGAAGGGCGACACCGTTACCATGGAGTACACGGGCTGGCTGAAGGACGCCAGCTCTGACAAGGGCAAGCAATTTGACAGCACAACTGGCCGTGGTCCGTTCCAGACCCAGATCGGTGTCGGCCGTGTCATCAAAGGCTGGGATGAGGGTGTTGTGCAAATGAAGCTTGGCGAGAAGGCCAGGTTGGACATCACCAGCGACTTTGCTTACGGAAATCAGTGAGTGCTCTCGATGAAGAAAACTGTACACCCACAGATGCTGACGTATATATAGGTCATTCCCTGGTCTGATCCCTCCCAACTCTGACCTTATCTTGTAAGTCATTGCTCTCATACGCATGTACTTGGTGCACGATATTAATTTCTTTACAGCGAGGTCGAGCTTAAGAAGATCAACTAAGTCGCGGATAAAGGATAAGGATGATGGGAGGCGAACGCGGCAGTCGTATCCAGGCTGCAAGGAGATGGCCTATGGAGGAGTGGAAACTATACTGTAATCGAGAATTGAATCTTGAGAAGCAGGTTTGTCGCCGCGGCATCATGACTCCATATTCTTCTCCTCTCTCTCTACAATCAATCACCCTCCTTTTCAACGAACAAGTCATTGTTTCGTCCCATATTTCATCCCATGCGTAGCTGTGTCCAATACCTCCAAACACGCTTCTCTCTGAAGACTCAATCTCTTCAACAAGCTTTGTGATTTCTGTAATGGTCTACTCATCTAAACACCATATAGGAATAATGCGGTTTGGTAAGGATTGATTGCTTGTTTCGCCTGTCCTTGCGAGTCTGCAGTAGCCACCAAGAGGCAGGAGCACTGGCTACAATACGCAAACAGAATGAGAGTGAGATATGCGGTGATGAAACATAAGCTTTATTATAATTAGTTAGGACTTGTCCAAGTACAGGTTTGAACTAGAGCGAAGAGGCGCTGGCGGCTAGCAGGGAGCCGCGATCCTAAGTAGCACGAACAGCTCTGGACGTTGCATAAAAACAGGTGCCATTGTGCGAATAGTCTTACTAACTCACATCAATTATCGTGGCGCAATGCCATACCTTCAATGGACCAGTTTGGCAAACGCTCATCATGCACACTCCAGCCCCGCTCCATTGCAAGCCCCACCATAAGGCATTGGGCAATGCATGCAGTGACATCACGACTAATGAGATGAAAGCTGCTTTATGCGGCGCTTAGAGCTGCATGGAAAGGAACGATGGCGCAACTGGCTTTCCACTTAATCTAAATGATCCGGTATGCTCCTATTACCTCGAATCTTCTACTCTTCACGCACTGCCTTCCATAACACCAGCAATTGGCCATCAGTGACAGCATTGTTGAAGCATTTCTCTACCTTTGTTACCCCGCTATCCACCATGTCGGCAAGCACACTCGATATCAATTCGACTTTCGACCTGCCGAATTCGCAGTACAAGATTCCGAAAATCGGGTTTGGTGTCTACCTGTCACCTAAGGATTTATGCGTCAAGTCTTGCAAGAAAGCCTTTGAGGCAGGCTATCGACACATCGACACGGCGCAATACTATGCCAACGAAGAGCAGGTTGGACAGGCATTGGCTGAAAGTGGGCTTCCTCGCGAGGACATCTACATCACGTCCAAAATCATGAGTCCTGAAGAGGATGTCGAGTCGACATACAAAAAGGTTGTCGAGAGTGTTGAGAAGCTTGCTGGGAAAGATGGTTATGCGGATCTTTTCCTCATCCACACCCCGAGTGGAGGCAAAGAGGCAAGGAAGACAATGTGGCTGGCACTGAAGAAGGCCAAGGAGGAGGGAAAAGTACGAGACATTGGTGTCAGCAACTACGGTATTGGGCATATTGATGAGATTGCAACGATTGACAGCAAGGATGCTCTCCCTGCTGTGAACCAGATCGAGGTTTGTATTTGCCCCCCAATGTAACTACCCACATACCTGACCAATTACACCAGCTCCACCCCTGGTGCCAGCAGCGCGAAGTTGTCGACTACTGCAAAAAACGCAACATCGTAGTCGAAGCCTACTGCCCCATTGTCCGCAACGAAAAGGCAAACGACGCGACACTCGGCGCTATCGCTAAGAAACACAACAAGGAACCCAACCAAATCCTCATCCGATGGAGTCTACAAAAGGGATTCGTCCCGCTGCCCAAGAGTGACAATCCTTCGAGGATTGTCGGCAACGCTGATATATACGATTTTGAGCTAGACAAGGATGACATGGCTACGCTGGATGGGTTGGATCAAGGCGCAAAGGGCGCGATTGTCCAGGCTGTTAGCAATTCTTAGAGTAAAAAGATTTTTTCTACAGAACCCAGGCAATTTGAAGCTATATCAATCCTCCAGGAATGACGAGCTTGGTTTTTCAAGGGCCGTGTTTTTTTTTGGGGGGGGGCATGGCGATCATCCATCTGGTCGATTCAACGTACGGGGTTAGCTAGCTTTTCAGAGCAGCAATTCCAACACCACTGTAAGAATGTTTGTTTAGCTATGGGGAATTTTTTTTGAAAGAAACATGATTTGGAAGCTACGGACCGAGTAATGTCGGACAGGCAGGGGCTTGAAGCAAGATACGCGTCTGTTCTCGCAGTACCCCACCAAGCCCACTTATGTGTTCTGTCAACCTCACCACTTCGATCAGCATGAAAATCTTGTAGTTGAGGTTTGAACACAGTAGGGGTTTACTGATTGTTTCATGTCAGATTCTAATATATACACGGCTATTGAGGTCGGTTTCGCTCTGCAGCCTCTATTTGCATGCACGTTATTTATTGAATAATTTTGCAAACTGCCATCGGTTTTGTAGTGTAGCGGTTATCACTCCGGATTCTGATTTAGGCGTCAGAGTCTTCCGGCAACCCCGGTTCGATTCCGGGCAAGACCTCACCGTCTTATTTTTTTCTTATTTTTGCTTTTCTCAACATCCTCTTTTTAATTATCCTATATTGTACGCTTATGCACCGGGGAGGGAAAGGATACAGTTGTTCCTTTTTGTAAGTTTGAAATTTTTTGTTGCAGTGTTTTTGCCGTTTGTGACGCGGCTTGATATGGTAGAGTTACGTATTACTATATAGGACCCCTATATCTAAGTGAAAGCGTACTTGAGAAGAATAGGAGGAAGAGGAGTAAAAAAGGGAGGTTCGCAAGGCTGCGCAAATGCCCGAATGGGAAGGGCGACATGCCGCCTGGTACCACAGAGGAGCACCGCAAAACACAAGAAGGAAGGAGAAGTGGGTGTAAGTAAATGTAAGGCGCCATGTCGCTAAACGCTGGGAAAAAAGGAGAAGACGGTTGTGCAAAAGAAAAGACGGCGAAGAAAAAAGAAAATGCGTCGGGGGGGTATTACATCTATCAACAAAAGAACTTGTAGACCTTCTTCCACCTAGGCCACTTCTTCTTTTCTTCACGCTCTTCCTCGATCAGAGCCTGGATGTTGAGTTCCCTGATACCCGTCACGAGATCCATATTGTGTGAGCGAACGACCGAAGTACGGAACCAGAACTTGTAGGGAAAGTAAAAAGCCAGTGTGACGGGAAGAGCGAGATAGACGCTGAAGAAGCGTTGGAGGCGCTGAGAGGTAGATAGAACGGCCATGTCGATTGGAGCGACGGAGACGTAGAATTGGGCGACAAGGACGAGGATGTTGAGGCCGAAGCCGATGTAGGAGCCGATGAGGCCGGGTTGCGAGCGGAAGGCGAGTTCGCTGAGGCTGTGGCCTTGGACTTTCCAGCCCTGGCGGAAGCGGATGTGTGCGAGGCAGATGGAGGCCCATGTGAAGACGGCGGAGAGAGCGGATAGGGCGAGGAGCCAGTTGAAGGCTGCATCTTGGAGGCGGCGCTCTGCTCCGGCGAGGAAGGCAAGGAGGCCGAGGGAAGAGGCGAAGGCGATGGAGACGAGAGGGCGGCCTTGGCGGTCGATGTACGCGAAGATTCTGGGGGCTTGGTTCTGTTCGGCCAGCGCTGCGAGTGTGCGTGAGGAACCATAGATGGACGAGTTGCCGACGGAGAGGACAGCAATCATGATGACGGCGTTGAAGACGGAGGGCAAGCCTTCGATGCCGGCATTCTGAATGGCAATGACGAATGGAGAGGCTACGGCGTCGACATTATTCTTGTCCTGGAGGAGGCGTGGGTTGTTGTATGGCACGAGCAGACCGACGACAGTGAGCGAGACAATGTAGAAGAGGGAGATTCGCCAAAAGACTTGCTTGACGGCCGTGGGAAGCGACTTGCGTGGATTGGCTGTTTCAGCAGCAGCAAGACCAACGAGCTCAGTGCCGGAAAAGGCGAAGGCGGCGTTGACGAAGACGCTGCAGAGACCTTTGAAGCCGTTGTTGAAGGGTCCTGGATCGTGCCAGTACTTTCCTCCAATGTAACCGCCGTCTGGACCGCCGCCAATGTTGATGATGATTCCGAGGATGATGAAGCCAATGACTGCGGTGATTTTGACGATAGCAAAAACGAACTCGGCCTCTCCGTATCCCTTGATACCAAACAGATTAATGACAACAATCAGGACCAAGAAGATGGCGACCCACGCATTGTTGTTGACCGCATCGCCGTTCCAATACTCAATAGTGAAGGTGGCAGCGACAATCTCGAGCGGGAGCACAACAAGCCATTGCAGAGCGTAGTTCCAACCCATGGCAAAGCCCCAAGCGGGATCCAGGAAGCGTGTCGAGTATGCGGAAAAGGAACCAGCAACCGGAAAGAGGACGGCCATTTCACCCAGTGCGTGGACGGTGGTGTAGAGCATGATACCGACGAGACAGTAGCATATGACGAGCGCCGCTGGACCACCATTTGCTAGTGCCTGACCAGAGCCGACAAATAAACCGGTACCTTTTTCGCAAGTTTGTGATCAGCGGACGGACGAGGTGGTTGACTGGGAGAAGAAGGCGTGCTTACCAATGGAACCTCCGATGGCTATCATCTGCAAGTGGCGACCCTTGAGCCTCCGAGCAAGCGGCGAGTTTGCAGTATTAGTTGCAGCAGCCTCTGGATCAAACATGTTGCTATCAGCACCGACGGTCGTCTTTGGCGTCATGGTCATGGCGAAGTTGGGATCCCGCTTGAAGCTGTCGAGCATGCGGCGGCCGAGGCCTTCATTGTAGCGAGAGGACTCGCCATAGTAGTCGGATCCCTGCGAGGCTCTCCCAAAGCTCTTTTCGGTCCCGTACATGTCGTCGTCCATGGTCATCGGGGGTCGGGCAAGGCAGCAGGGCGCCAGACAGCAGGGCACAGTGCAGCCAGGCACGCGACACGAGGCAGAACAGGCAGCGCAAAAGAGGGACGGGTGAGAGGCGATTCTGCACGCTGGTCGGTGTTGGTGCAAGTTGCGGAGACTGAGATGGACTGATTGCTTTTTTTTTGCCCCGGACGAGCGGGCGCAGGGACCGGGTTATTACTTATGAGTGCAGGCAGTGGTGCTGACGGGCAAGGCAGCTTTGAGCGTACCGGTTACTAACTGGATATGTCGGTAGGAGTGTACATGGCACACTAGACATGTCAGTCCGGGGCCAAGGGTCAAGGATGATCGAGGCAGGCCCGGATTGCTGGGAAGGGCTGGATATGGATAGACCAGGTAGTGGGGGTGCCGTGTCCTATCCCGGCCTCGACACCATCCATTCATGCAAGTGGGCCGGGGGGAGGGCAATTCACATCACCGCGCATCGCCGTCTGTACGTACTGTGTGGATGGTTGTACTGAGTATCCATGTGCGTAGTATGTATACATATGATATCACATCCAACCTCGTGTTCTCTGTTAGTGTCTCTACTTTTCTTCTTCTTCTTCTTCTTCTTCTTCTTCTTCTTCTTCTTCTTCTTCTTCTTCTTCTTCTTCTTCTTCTTCGTATCCCTCCTCTCTTGATGCTGCAGTCACCTGCCCGCTGTTTAGCCTTGAGCGAGCCAGCCGTGCTTGGCTCCGTCGCCTCCACTAACCTCCAGCCGTTCGAGCGGATGGTGCCAAAAACAGCCAATCTCGGCCCCCTAGCTGGATTCTCTTATTGCTCCAGATTTGCGGCTCGCGTGGCCGCCGGCGCTACCAGACGGCCTCGGTATCTGCGTCTGTGTCCATGCTACCGGCCGCCCTTATCGCCATGTGCTCGTGGGACGGTCGAGTCACGGCTGGGTGGGTGGCTTGCCCCTCACCTCCCAACCAACACCCACACCAACTGACTTGGACAGCCACCATCCATCGCCAAAGTGCATCCGTCCAGCTTTCCAGAACCCGTCCTACCCGGTTCACCATGGATGCATGCACATGCTCCTTTGCAGCGCGTCGTGGTGGGACGGCTAAAACCACATTGCGTCTTACGCACTCAGCCGTGGTCCTTGACAGCCGCCATCACATGCAGGTACGGTCCACAATTCGTCGGTAGCTGCTTCATCCCTCTCCCGCTTCATAAAACCATCCTCGGTCTGTCCAACACCACGCCACAATAAAACGTGCTTCGCCTTACCTCAGCATACATACTCACAATTCGTCCGACAACGGCCCGTCTCCAACCACCACCACCACCACCACCACCACCACCCTCCTCCCTGCCAGCCCCGCATAACCTCGTCTGCCATCAAACACAACTTCGCTCATCTCAACCCAGAACACACACTCTCACCCAAGGCCAATCGTGATTTCCATCCTTTGCCCCCTCCATTTTCTCTCGTATCCAGCCCAAGCACTAACTGTCTCACCATCCACCACGGGCCTAGCCACCATCTCTTTCGTCTCTGCCATTTCGCTTACAGAAACAAGAACACGAGAGAGACAGATGTCAGTCTTCCCATTGCTATCGCAATGCCCGCGTACGGGACGTTGCTCGGCAAACGGCATGAATCACACGCCAACCAGTTTAGGCATGCCTTCCCATGCCGGTTAGGTCAGTGGCACGCCCAATTGATAAGGCCAGCCACCACCGGGCAGCCCTCCATGCATTCTCATCGTAACCTCTCTACTGCGTCCCGGCCCAAATAGCTAATCCCATTACGTGCTTCTGCAACCCGGACAAAAACAATCTCATGCACATGTGAGAAACTTGGTTCGTATATACGTACTCTTCGTGTTCCCACCTCCACTGAACAAGTTCGTCCCGAAAATGATCGACAGATTACCATCCCATAACCTTGCCCTCTTTTTATGTAATTCTGCAGCCGACGCCGCCTTTCCAAGGGCAAAAATAAAAATAAAAATCTTACCCCAGAACCTATTATGCTTATGCACTGCACATGCAGGTTCAAGTCGCCGTTCTCTGACGCAAGTGGCGAGATCGGCGGCTCACCACGCTTTCTATATGCATACGTACCATTGCCAATAACGCGTCTTGCCTGACCTCATTAAACTCTACTCTTGTTGAACAAAACATAATCACAATGGACAAATACACACGCACGCACACATACACATTATCCCATATTATTGATCTCCATCATATACTTCGATTCCCCCAACCCCCGTAGTTCTTATGTCGATCCTTCCTACAACGTCCCTGCGCGATATGTGTCCCAGGTTCCAGGAGCGGCAGCGAGACAGAGAACCAAAAAAGGCGTTTCTGCGGCGCGTGCACGCGCACTACCCACGCACGTGTGCTGCCCATCTTGTAAACACTGAGTCCGTTTTTTTTTCGTTCCTTTTTACCTGAGAGCCATTTTTGTTTTTTTGAGTAACGGTCGCTAGCCATATGATTGGTTTCCCCGGCGGGGGGGGGGCGGGTTTGGGTACCAAACTCGTTTTCTACTACTAACACGTATTTGCTTTTTTCCCTATTCCAATCCAAGTGAACTATGTAGGTATCGCAATGCTCGTTTAGTTGGGAGAGCAGTCACGTGTCGAACTTTTCTTTCTTCCTTCTCTCTTATCCCTCTCATACCCATCTCCCAATGTTGCATGTAGTCATCACACCGCATACATTGCGAAACCCCCAACCCCCCTACCCCCATGGTCCAGTCACATAACATGGTTGGCAACATTTTGCTTGCTTACACTGAGCCAAAGGCAATCGTCCACACTTATCCTAGGAACTTTTTTTTTGAGTTTGTTTGCTTGATTTTCCCCTTTTCAACACACCCCTGATTATTATAATTATTATTTTTCAGTAAATTCAATAAAAATACGATGCTGTTGTACACCGTGACACAAAAACCCTATTGATTACATCGATGCAGCATTTTCCTCTTTTGAAAAAGGGATACGTGATGACTTTCGGGTCTTTATCCACCTCGAGTTCACCGCTTCTTTTTGCTTGCGTACCCCCGGTGTGTGTACATGTGTGACAAGGCTAGAGACTAGGTTAGGGTAAGTAGCTGATGATGGCCGATTGACAGCCTTTTATGTATCGATCCTGGGAGATTGGGTTCGGGAGGTTCCGGGTATTACCTCATCGGCGAGTTACGTTGTCAGCACTACGTTTGTCGATCTTCGTGATGACATTCGTTTGCGAGGGGAGATGAGAGAGAGAATAAAAGTACCAAAAGTATCAATTTTTTGCGCAGATTAGAGAAAAAAAGGGGGGAACCTATAAACGCCAAAGGGTATGCTTGTATGAGTGTGACGATGCCAATGCAAAACGAGAGAGAAAGGAAAGAAGATGGCTTACTACATTGGCATAGAACACCCGAGGGATATAAGAAGAGTAAATAAAGGAAAGAAAGACATATGCGGGGATCGGGGAATGATGCCATGACAAAGATAAGAAAAAAAGGGTAGAGAAATAAAGGAAAAAAAAATCAACATCTGCAACAACAAGCCCACAATCGAACAATTGTCTAATCCGACCAACTCAAACACACAGACAAGAAAGGAAGAAAGAAGAAGAAGAAAGAAAACTCCAGCAACAAGGACAACTTTTACCTTCAAATCCCCTCACCTCAAGCATCCCCCCCAACCTTCTCCTTCTCTTTCTCCTTCTCCACTTCAACTTCCTTGTCCTCCTTCATCGGCGGCGTAAGAGGCGGTCCCAAAACCTCCTCTACAAACTCGCCCTCACCCAAGCGACCCCCAAACGTTTCCACCTCCTCAATCTCCTCTTCTTCCTCCTCATCTTCCTCGGTAATACCCAGAATCTCTCCACTGCGTCTACCCTGCGAACTCGTGCCACGGCTTCCCGAGCCCCCTTCGCCGCTTCTGCTGCGCCACCCGCCGCCTCCCGAGCTGCCATTGCCAACGCCAGTGTTAACGTTGAGCATGGGGCCTTTGAAGACGCTGCGTTTGCGCTTGGCGAAGACGAGACCGGGGGATTGGGGTGGCATTGCGTGGCCGTTTCCAAATGCGGCGCTGGATTCGCTGAGGCCGGGTGGGTATCCGGAGCGGACGACGCGGATGTTCGAAGGGAAAGAGGATGATGTAGGTGTGGCGGGTAGGACTTTGATGCTGTTGTGCGGCGATTTGGAGGGTTTGTGCGAGTGACCGGATGTTGAGACGGCGGGGGAGGCGAGCGAAGCCGAGGATGTTGAAGAGGCTTTGCTGTGAGAGTGGTGGTGGTGTGGCATGCTGCGGATCGAAGACACGGATGATGATGTTGACTTGCGCCCTCGGAGACCACCAGACGACCGGCGGTATGACGACCGTGGTGTCAATGGAGCTGGAGATGCTGATAGTCGTCTCACAGAGCCTGAGCCGTGTGTAGAGGTCCGCGGTCTGGTTGAAACCGGGGCCATTGGCGGTGACTTTGGGTTCATGTAAATAGATGAGCGGTTGGCTGTGTTAAGCCTTCGTCTCCCACCGTCTGGGGACTTATTTTCAGGCAATTTCGGTGACTGCACACTGCTAGCTTTCGAGTTCGGTGACCGTGCGCGCTTCGATGTCTCTTTTATCCAATTCCGGAGGGATAGCAGGTGGCCAATGATGGGCTGCTTCCGACGCGGTTTGGGTACAAATCCGTTTGGTGAAAGGAGATCGGGATTGGAGACAACTTGCAGCATGCTACTACGTGATCTCCGTCTATCGATATCTTTCGCAGGAAGTGGTGGCCGTGACGCAGAGTGGGATTTGCGTCCTCGAGGAGGGTCAATTGGAGGTAGGGGCTTGTCGTCAATTGTGAGATTGGGAGAAGTGAGCGATTCCGGGAGACGCGGTAATTCTGGAGCACCTTGTCAAAGTTAGCGTCATTCCTCGATTGAGAAAACCACTTGACTCACCATGTAAACTGCTGCGGTTCGCCGTTCTACCACGACTTTTTGGTGTCTGAGGTAGGTGGTACCCTTCTTCGTCCGTTTCCCTAATGGTAGGCGCAAGCTTGTCGAGACGACTACTTGCAGCACTCAACCGCCGAAGACTCTTCGCTTCTGCCTCCTTTTCTTTTCGTTTCCGCTCTCTCCTCCTGGCTTTTCGTTCTTCCTTCTCGAGCAACAATGCCCACCAACCAGCGAGAGAGTCACATCTTTGTGCCAATACATTCTCAATCACCATGTCAATGTCGACTCCGGCAGCACGCATACGCTGCAAAACCTCCTTCTCTAGCTCGGTGGAAAAGGGAGCCGGCTGTTGCAGCTTTAGTGTCTCCTGCTGGCGCGGCGCGTGTTCCGACAACCAAGGGTTTTGGAGTATGTCGGCTAAGGTAGGACGTAGAATCGGCCTTTTTGAAAGCAACGACTGGCACAACTCTTTTGCCTGCGGGGGAAAGGAGTCTGGAAATTTTGGCTCCTCTTTCAAAATCCTTGTCTTGGTAACCATCTCATCGTCGTCATCAAAAGGCAGCTCGCCCACCAACAGGGCGTAGAGAATGATGCCCAAACTCCAAACGTCTACTTTTTCACCAGCATACTTTTCGCCCTTGAGCATTTCCGGGGCGCTGTAGCATATTGTCCCGCACCATGTCTGTAGATAGTTGGACTTGCCCTCGTACTCGCGGGTGAAGCCAAAGTCGACCAGCTTGACATCGCCATGTTTATCCAGGAGGATGTTCTCGAGCTTGAGATCGCGGTGGACGCACGACTTGTTGTGGACATAGGTGACGGCGCCGACGAGCTGAGTGAAGATGCGCTGGACTTTGGCGGGCTCGAGAGCGCCCTTGGCCAGGAGGTAGTTGTATAGTTCATCGCCGGGACAGTATTCGAGCACCAGCCAGACCATCTGCTCCGTGACTATGACCTCGTACAGTCGAGCAATGTGGGGGTGTATGAATTGGCGATGGTGGTGGATTTCACGCGCGAGGTTAGCATCGTCCTTTCTCGCGCTCTTGAGCACGACCTGTGTGGTGGTCAGCGTTGTGGTGTCTTGATTGCGACCATGCTCCGACGACGCACTCTGGAGCCATTGCTGAGCTTGTGTGAGGCCAAGTAGACTTTTCCAAAGCTGCCTTTGCCTATCAGTCTGCCGACGGTATAATTGCCGACGGTCTTGAGGTCGGTGGCTGCGAATTCACTGTTGGGGGTGTCAGGACACGGGTGCATGTGAAGGACGCGCCGGGAGCGCGCGCATGGTGTGGCAACGAGGGCTTACTCGAGTAGCTGTTTATATGAGTTTGCAAGCTGCTGTTCACGAGGAGTCAGCGACGGTAAGTCTCTCCATCTCTTTGAGTCTTGCACGCTCTCATCTCCATGGCCCAATTTGCGCTCGTGAGATTTGCTTGTTGCGGGCGCACAGGCGTTTGGCTGGGGCGGCAAGGGACGGATGAGAGTAAGACGAGGAGCAGACATACCTTCTTCCTCTGGGCCTGAATCTCAGCCTGGGCTCTGAGATTTGACTGCATGGAATGATGCGCCGCTGCTCCGTGGAATCGACTGCGCAACCAGCGTCATCTATGGGCAGGCAGAAGTGTGGACTGGCGCGCGCCGCGGACGGGGACGAGGGATGAGACGGCGATGCGGTAGAGGCCGTTGGTAGCGAGTGGAGACGGGCGGTCGGACGGCAAATGCCAGGGGCCTGGGAGGGTCGACGAAGGCAGAGATAAAGATGTCAGGTCTGGCCGGGCCGTAAATAGTAGTAAACTATGTACAGTATTAGTTGTGAATATCGCGGAGGGGAATCCAACGGCCGCCGTCAGCTCTCTCCTGAGCTTGGTCACGACTGGTGCTGCCATGTGTTCGGGCAGCACGATCCTGGCCGCAGATCTCCGAGATGCCGCTCGCCTGCACCCCTTGGACATGCTCATGCTCATGCTTACACTGCGACAGCAGCAGGGCCAGAGACATGGTGTGCTTGCTCATCCGACACGCCCAAAATAAAACAAAAAGCATGTATGGTTTGAAGGAAGGGTTTCAGCACTACTGGCCCTGGAGCGGGCGTGCACGGCGAGCCTCTTGACCTCGACGGTTGCACTGGCACAACAAATTAATATAATATCACACTACCCGTCCCACGAACCGAAACAACGAACAAGCAGCTCAGGGCGGATGCAGCCCTACCGAAACACAAACAGCACAGACATGTCCAAGCCCAGCAACTCAAAACAAACTTAAACTCCCGCACCCTGTCCTTACTACAGTTTGCTCCTAACTCCCGCCGCTCCTCCTATGTACGTTTGGCCCAATCTCAGCATGTCGACTGCCTCTTGCACCATCTCGTCGACAATCTGCTTTGCGGGCTTGATGTCGTCAATCACGCCCGCGACCTGTCCCATCAGGAACGGGATGTCCACGTCCTTGCCATCGTCCATGTCCTTGGCAATGGGCACAATGCCCGCCTCAGTCAACTTCTTGATCTCGTCCTCCCTCTGATGCCATTCCTTGATGTAGTCGTTGTACCTGACCCGCAGAGGGCGGCCGCTGACAACCAGCGTGCGACCCGTGTCTGTGAAGTCGGCCGTGACGACGTTCTCCTTGTGCATCTTAGAGCAGCCTGCCTCGGTTGAGGCGACAAAGCGCGTGCCCACCCATACGCCCTGCGCGCCTTGCATCAGACTGCTGGCTAGACTGCGGCCGTTGTAGATGCCTCCCGCAGCCACCACCATAGCCGGCTCGCCTGTCAACGGGCTCTTGTACTTGCGCGCAACGTCCACAACGGCCGGTATCAGGATGCTGTTTGCAATGTCGCCAGTGTGCCCACCGCCCTCTCCGCCCTGGGCGCATACAATGTCCACGCCAGCGTCCAGCGCCTTTTTCGCGTGCTTGGGGTGTCCAACCATGTTCATAATCAAGATGCCCGCCTCATGGAGCCTCTTGATTGTGCGCGCAGGAGGCACACCTACGGCGCTCACAAACAGCTTTGCTCCGTTCTTGATGGTCACCTCGATAAGCTCGTCCAGCTGGCCATGCGTGTAGTCGTGGTTCGTCTTGCGCGCGCTACCGCCTACCTGGGGCAGGGCAAGATCGACACCAAAGGGGAGATTCTGGTCATTAAGGTTGGACTTGAGGTCGTCGATGATGGACTGGAGCTGGGCAGGCGTGTAGCCCAGACCGCCAATGACACCAAGACCACCAGCATTAGACACGGCAGCTGCGAGAGGACCTCCAGAGGTTCTCGCCATGCCGGCTAGAATGATGGGGTACTGGATGCCCAGTAGCTGGGACAGGGGCGTCTGCAATACTGGTGGCGCCATGCTGGTGAAAGGGAGAGAGTTCTGTGTGGCGCCATGACGGGTCCGGGGAAGTGGATGCTAAATAGCGCGCCTCCTGCTTCATGTCTCCACATGTTTTCAGGGCCCGGGTATCCGCCGGTAATGGGCATTGAGGTTGGCGAGTTGCGATGGCCATGCCTCGGTTCATGCTCGTGTTGCTTCCCCGCAAGACCCTGTCGCCGCACTCGGCCAATCACCATCCTCCGACTACTCGTCCTCTACACACTTCACGACGCTAGGCAGACAACCAAGAAGAGCGGTTTGGACTGCTTGTGGAGTTTTAGAAGCTTTCCTGCTGTGCCCATGGTAGCCTCTTGTAGGAATTGAAGAACGGACACCAACCCGTCATGGCTGCACGCCTCCAATCCTCCAACCCAATCCTCTGAGTTTCCTCCTACTCAATCTGACGAGGGGCGTACGTATCCCCGCTTATTGCATGTTTACCTCAGCATTAGAAATACTAGTTACAACGAGACACGCACGTGTCCAGCGACCAATAGCATACTCCCTATAGTATCAGAAAGCAGAAAGAGCTATTTACTCGTTTCACCCCACCTGTCCCTCCGCGGCTCAACACCACTCGCCACCCAGACTCCCCTTCAAGATAGGAATATTGCCCAAAGCCAAATACACTATTGACAATAGTCATGCAGCTGATGTCTACTAACAGAATCCCACCTATATATATATATCGTACAACCATGTTGCCTCCATGTCGGGCGGAGAATCCAGCAAGTCATCATGTTCGCCTCAATCAATATCGCGACCGCAATCGCAGTCATTGTTTCCACGGCCAGTGCCGCACTCTACTATCCAGATGTCCAGACACATCTCCTTGAGCACATTCTTGTCGACAATTGGGGCGCCTACGCATCCAACTTTTCTTCTGCAATCACGCCCTGTGACCGCTATGTGACGCAGACGGGGAATGCGGCACTAACCAGTGGCCGCACGACGGCAGCCCAATGGATGCGTGTTCTTTTCCACGACTTCATAACGGCCAATGTGAGCGCAGGTACAGGTGGAGTGGATGCAAGCATTGGGTTTGAGACGGCGAGGGAAGAGAACAAGGGGAGTGCATTCAATGACAGTTTTACTTTTTGGAGACCCTATGTCAACGGCGCTGTTTCCAGTATGTGTTTCGGTACTTGAGTTTACTCCCATCTTCTTGTCTGACCAGAAACCTAGTGGCTGATCTAATTGCAATTGGAACCGTCATGTCGAACAACCTATGTGGAGGCAACAACATGCCCTATCGCCCCGGGCGCATTGACGCTCTCTCTGCGGGCTCCACAACAGGCGTCCCAGCACCAGAAACGAATCTCGAAGAAACCCTCGTCTTCTTCGAGCGCGCCGGCTTCGAAAAAGTGGAAGATGCCATTGGCCTGACGGCCTGCGGACATACCATGGGTTCGGTGCACCACGGCGGCTTCCCCGAAGTCGTAGACGAAACATTTGTCACGCCAAATAACACCAACGGCGGCAGCAACTTCGACACGACGCGCGGTGTCTTTGATCCCAACATTTTGGGGGAATATGTGCATTGGACGGGCAATAAAGGTGGTCCGTTGGTGACTTCGCACAATGAGACTATGAACTCTGACCTTCGGCTCTATGAGAGCGACGGTAACGTCACCATGCGAGCACTGCTTGCACAGGGACCCGCGTTTCTAGATACCTGTGTCGAGCTCATGCGCCGCGCCATCGATACCGTGCCATCCCACGTGCAGCTCGGTGACGTCGTCACGGCAATCCCTGCCAAGCCGATTAACGTTACGTATGATTACTCCAAGATCGATGGCAAGTTGGTGCTTTCGGGTAAGATTAGAGTGCTGACTGCAGCGGAACACGGAAGTCAAAATTCAATTACACTTCGCATGGGCCAAGATGAGACGAACATTGCACTTGTCGCCGAAGCCGAGACTGGGCAGTCTGTTTTTGGTCGCGGTGCTGCTGGATATGGGACCACGACTTATTTCCCCTTTTCAGTATCTGGACCCTCGATCCGAAATGCAACTTCCTTTTCTGTGAGTGGTGCAGGTATCCAACAAGACTTTCGGATTAGCAACCAGATATTCGTGGTGCAGAGTTTAACAGCTCTGGACGGCAAGGCTGTCAATACTACTGTCGCTGTATCGGCGCCTAACTCTTGCTCGGATATTCATGTGCGTATCGCTGCACCTTTTACACAGCCCGGGACATTGGCACCGAAGATTAGCGAGAAGGATATCATAGTGAGCGCCTTGCCCGAAACTCCGGACGGTTATACACTGTGTGGTGGCAACATTGTTCTGGACGCCGTGCCAACTGGCTTACTCACTATAAAGGCACTACAAGGAGGAACCCTCGTTGATACACTGTTGGTAGACGGGGGGAAAGCAGGCTGGTGAAGTCTGAAGAATCGAATTTTGTTCAGTTTTTTTCTTCACCATGTGTCTGGCAACATGTGACTAGAAGAACAGTGCCTTTGGAGCTGGCAATAGACTCACACCCTGCCCCATAGCCAGCATACTGCACAACTTCATCCACCTGGTCGTAACCAGCACAACCGCACACACAATCATAATAATGGCAGCAAGATACCAAACACAGAAATAAGTTACACAAGACCCAGACTTACACCAACCTCTGCCTTCATAGGCGACATATCCGTAATGCCAAGTCCAAGAATAATGTCGACACTTCCATCCAAGAACCCATAGACATCACAAACAGGCAACACCGCTATTGGTAGTTTTGCCCAAGCAAAAACATGCATACTGTGCTTCTGCACACGCCCTACTCAGCAGTAAAACGGGCCTCCAACGCTGCCGTATAATAAATCCCGTTAGCAACTAGATGACTACTCTAACCCCAACCCCCCCGAGCTCAACACTCTTGAAAAGAAGATAAAATATACTCTCTGTTTCCGTATCGCCAATCAGCTCCCCGGTGACCCATCCTCTTCATTTCTCCTTAACCGTTGTAAGATCTACAATCCAGAAAAGCAGCGCTGACGTCTGCTTTGTATACTCGTGTATATAGACTGTTTGTGAAGAAGAAAAACGGAGGTAGTAGGAGCATTGCGACTAGAGATTTTTTTTTACTATGTAGTAAGCAAAGGTTGAATATTTCAAGGACTCACTGTTCCGAGGAAAGAAAAGGGCGGTTATATGCAGAGTGTATAGTAATATCTTCTCCCTAGACTTGTAATTCATGTGTTTAGATCTACTTCGAGATAGTGTAGATACTGTACCGTAGCTTCATCTGTTTTAAGTCATAAAATTAGAACGAAAAAGAACAAGGACACAGTAGGGTTTCTGAAAGCTGGTCAAACGCAGGTACGTTATTTCTAACTTGTCCTAACCAACCCCGCCGCGTTTTTGTATTGGGTTAGGCAAAATACCAAGTATTTTCTACACTGAAGTAATGGGGGGGAACTGAAAAAAATACCGCAACGATAAAACCCCCTCCTTTCCGTTTTCCGTTTTAATCCAATCCACTGGTGTCCTAAAGACAATGCATAGTAACAATAGCAATAACAACAACAACCCGCCAGATTGTCGTCTTCCTATCCCTCAAAATCTAGCAAACTCACTTCTTCATGTGACCTGCCCAGCGTCTCTGTCTAGTTCTCGTACCACGCTCGGCCAGTACGTCTTGAAGGACATCACGAACGGAATGTGCTATCCGATCCATATCACCATCACTCAAAGGGCGGCAGTTGCGAGCAATTAGATCCGAGAACGACATCTTGGACGCGTTGCGGGCCGAATTTGGGGGTGTAGCAAGTGCAGACTGTGCAGAAGAAGACGATGGAACAACATGAGAGACTGACATTTGCTATTAGCGTTTGACTCCATTCATTTGCCCATTGACCTGTTTGTGCCCATTGACTTTACCCTGCGTGCCTGGCTGCGGTTGCGGTGGGGGCGGCGGTGGCACGGGTCCAAAGGGTCGACGTTCAGGTGCGGGTTCAACGCCGTCTTCCTCGGTGTCGTCGTCGTACTCTGCGCTATCTTCATCTTCATACTCGTACTCACTCTCCGTCACCTCTTCGTCTTCCTCCTCGTGCTCCTCGTGCTCCAGCTCGTGCATGGGTACTTGTCCACGACCCTGTGCTTGCATGCCGCGGCACAGCGTCTCTAATCGGGCAATCTTCTTGCGCTGCTCCTCGGCCTCCCTCGTCTTCTTGGCAAGCTCCTCCTGCATCTTTTGGCGCTCCTCAACCATTTCACCAATATTTCGATTGGTAATGTCCTTGTGGCGCTGCAGATTTTGGTTTTCCTTTTCGAGGCGCTTCGTCTTCTTGGACATTTCTTCCATTTCTTTGCGGAACGTGAGAAAGAGGTCGTTGGAGTTGTTGAGGGTTTCCTCAACCTGCATCTGGTCAGTATTAACCATGATGATACAGACCAGCTAGGGGTGGAAGGCTAGACGTACCTGTTTGAACTTTTCGACATAAATGTTGAGCTGGGTGCGGAGTTCTGTTTCGGTTTGTGAGAAGGTCGAGACCTGGCGGGTCAATTGATGCGACTTTGACGATTCGGCTTCTTGCTGCTTGCGCTGCTGCTCGAGGCGAGCAGAATGATACTGTATTTCTAGCTCCTTGAGCCGAAGCATGGAGTGGTACTGCAGCTCGCGCAGTTCGTATTGGTCAATAAATGACTTGAATTTTTGGCGAAATCTAAACGTCTTAGCTAATGCAACACATATACGAATACCAGACTTACAGCTCGTCTAACTCTTGCTCGGCTTGATTCTGCGGCTCTGGCCCATTTGCAGCGGCTATACAGTCGTCGACGTCGTTGACAAGATGCTCGAGGCGCTCGTGGAGTTCCTGGCGGGCGGCCGACTCGCTGGTCTCGAGTTTGTGCAGTTCATCTTTTAACTTCTTGTTCTCTTTTGCAAAGTCACGCGACAGCTTGTCGAGCTTGTCCTTCATGGTGGTGACCTTGTTAAGCTCCGAGCGCTGGGCGTCCTTTTCTTTTTGCAGCTGGTCGCCGCGCTTCTTTGCCTTTTGGTGTTCGCGCTCGGTGCGCTTCATGTCGGACAACAGCTCGGTGTATCGCTTCTGGACGACCTCGAGGCGAGAGAGGGGGCCGTCCATGTTGGAGAGGAGCGAGGAGAGTTCACGGTTTGCTTTCTTAACTTCGCGTTCTGTCCATGCCGTGGTCAGCCAGCGATTTATTTTTATATGAGAGGGCCGTGGGCCGTGGTGATGGCGATGGAATTGCACATGTGGTGTACGCCACCTCGAGCATCCCCGCCCCCACCACTTGCACGGCCAGACATTGACGCACCGATTTCCAGTTCCTGCTCCTTGTCGCCTGCCTGGTCGAGTTCGAGCTGAGCAATCTTGGCCTGGATCTGCTTCTGCTGCTCCGAGGGGTCGGCGGCCTTCTTGCCCTTTGCCTTCTTAGCGGGCGCGGGCGCAGGCGCCGGATTGTGCTGGGCGGGCGCCATAGCGGCGGGTAAGGGCGATGTGGTGGTGCGGGAAGAGTCGTGCGGTGGTCGGGATGAGTGAGCAGATGTGGGCTGGCCGTGTTGGGCGACGGTGGCCATGAAGCCGTGGCTGGTGGATCCTGTGGTAGTGGCCTGTGACGGAGCCGCTGCCTATGCCACCACGCCCATGTATAGGAGGTGTCGGAAAAGGGAGGTCTACGCAGCGGGGGTGCGCATCCGCTGTGCAGTGCAGCAGCAGCAACAGCAGCAGCGGCAGCCGAGTAACAATGCGCGCGGAGAGGGTGTGGCCGTGTCTCCACCGACGTCTCGGAACGGCGTGGTGCACAGGGCGAGAGGGCAAGCAGAAGCAGAAGCAGATGTCGCAGTCAGTCCGGTCAGTCCAGTCGGGTCGGGCGAGATGATGGATGGGGCGGGGGGAGCAGCAGGCCGTGGTGTTGTCGACGTCGGGCGGGCACCACGCAGGCCTTTGTCGTTGGAGTAGGAGTGAATGTACGTAGTAGTACTTCGCACTGTCTCCACCACGCCCACGAGCTTCAATATCGACCAGGAGCACATGGACCAGCGCCCGCCCCAGCCAATCCACTGCCCATTCAGGCACCCTCTGCGCCGCTGTGATTTTGCAGCCTAACCCAGTTAGGTACAGGGCGCACTCGGCCAATCGGCGACATAGGCGTCATTGCTGGTCAGCATTTCTGTCCCGCCTTCGTATGTATGGTCATATTATATGCAGACTCTAGGTACGAGGCATTGCGACGTCTATTCACCCATTCGCACCCGGCCCACGATAGAACATGCTGCGCTCTGCTGGGCGGCAATTCCCGCCTAGGCTGCCGGCCACTGCGCGACGACACTATGTCGCTGTCGCCAACGCCACCAGCCTGCCCACTGTCGGCGACCAGCTCCATGGCTTCACACTCAAGCGCGTCAAGCAGGTGCCCGAGCTCGAGCTGACGGCCCTTCACCTTCAACACGACAAGACGGGCGCTGAATACCTGCACATTGCCCGCGAGGACACTAACAATGTCTTCTCCATCGGCTTCAAGACCAACCCGCCAGATGCCACCGGCGTGCCGCACATCCTCGAACACACCACGCTGTGTGGCAGCGAGAGGTGAGGAAACCTATCAGGATCTCTGCGAACCATAAACTGACAGCCCAGGTATCCTATTCGCGACCCTTTCTTCAAGATGCTGCCCCGCTCCCTGTCCAACTTCATGAACGCATGGACCTTTGCCGACCACACTGGCTATCCCTTCGCCACAACCAATGCCCAAGACTTCAAGAACCTTATGTCTGTATACCTCGATGCGACCCTGCATCCACTTCTTAAGGAGAATGATTTCACTCAAGAGGGCTGGCGCCTGGGGCCTGAGAACCCGCTGGCCAAGGAATCCGACGACCCAAACGCAAAGCGCATCGTCTTCAAGGGTGTCGTCTACAACGAGATGAAAGGGCAAGTGTCGGACGCAAGTTACCTGTTCTACACCAAATTCCAGGAACATCTCTATCCTGCCATCAACAACTCCGGAGGCGACCCGCAGAAGATCACTGACCTTACCTGGGAGCAGTTGCGCAAGTTCCACGCCGACCACTACCACCCCAGCAACGCTAAGATTCTCACATACGGTGACATGCCATTGGAAGAGCACTTGAAAGAGGTGGACAGCCGCTTGAGCAGCTTTGACAAGATTGCCGTTGACCAGGAAGTCAAGGCGCCAATTACTCTCGACACCCCCAAGAACGTCACCGTTCCCGGCCCCCTGGATCCGCTGGTACCTCAGGACAGGCAGTACAAAACTTCGGTCACTTGGCTGATGGGTGACACTGCCGATGCTGTCGAGAACTTTGCGCTTGGTGTCTTGAGCAGCCTGCTAATGAGTGGATATGGATCGCCCCTATACCGTAATCTTGTTGAATCTGGACTCGGTGCCGACTTCAGCGCAAACACTGGCTACGATAGTGCAGGGCGACGAGGAGTCTTTTCGATAGGGTTGGATGCGGTCAAGGCAGATGACGTACCTAAGGTTCGCCAAGTTATTGCAGAAACCCTGCTTGAAGCTCGGAAGAATGGCTTCGACAAGATCAAGGTGGACGGTATCTTGCACCAGCTTGAGCTCTCGTTGAAGCACAAGACAGCAAGCTTCGGCATGGGCATCCTTCAGCGGCTCAAGCCAGGCTGGTTCAACGGCATTGACCCGATCAAGGCTCTTGCGTGGCAGGAAACTGTAGACGCCTTTCAGAAGAAGTACGCCGAGGGAGAATATTTGGAGAGCCTGATTGAAAAGTACCTCCTCACCGACAACACCCTGACCTTCACCATGCAGCCTTCCGAGACATTCAGCCAGGAGCTTGTCGAAGAGGAGAGCCAACGACTAGCAGCCAAGATTGCAGAGACTACCAAGCAGTTTTCGAGCGAACAGGAGGCACACAAGTATCTAGAGGACCGGGAGCTTCAGCTGCTACAGGTTCAAGAGGAGGCCAGGAATGAAGACCTAAGCTGCTTACCTTCTGTGCATGTCAAGGATATCCCGCGAGAAAAGGAGCGGAAGCCATTACGCCACACCGACTTGGATGGTGTAAAGGTCCAATGGCGCGAGGCTCCTACAAACGGTCTGACATATTTCCGCGCGGTGCACAAGCTCCAAGACCTCCCAGACGAGTTACGAGAAATGATTCCGCTCTTCACAAGTGCTATTATGCGTCTTGGCACCAAGGACAAAACGATGGAGCAGCTCGAGGAACAGATCAAACTCAAGACTGGCGGTATTACCGTCGGTTACCACTCGTCTCAATCACCATTGTCACTCGATGCATATGAAGAGGGCATGGCTTTCTCCGGCTACGCCTTTGATCGCAACATTCCCGACATGTACGAGCTTCTTCGAACAATTATTCAAGAGACGGACTTCGACGGCCCTGAAGCTGAGAAGAATATCCGGGAACTATTACAGAGTGCAGCAAGTGGTGCCATCAGTTCCATTGCCGAGTCTGGTCATTCTTATGCCATGCGATTTGCCGAGGCTGGTGTAACTCCTGTGGGGCGTCTGGCGGAAGAGACAGGAGGTCTTACTCAAATCAAGCTCATGACCGCATTGGCGTCGCAAGAATCACTCAGTGATGTCATCCAGAAGCTCAAGGCCATCCAGTCCTTCACCATCGCAAACAGCAACCAACTCCGCGTTGCGCTCAACTGTGGGAGTGAGAGCTCAACACCCAACCAAGAAGCGCTCAGCCGGTTCTTGAGTACCCTACCAAAAGACATTTCAGTCCCAAAGACTTCACAACAAAAGCAGTATCCTCGTAACGCAAAATCCTTCTTTCCCCTGCCCTATCAAGTCTACTACTCGGCTCGCGCTGTCCCCACAGTGCCCTACACCCACGCTTCTAGCGCGCCTCTCGAGATTCTCTCAAAAATGCTTACCTTCAAGCAATTGCATCCTGAGATTCGTGAGAAGGGTGGTGCCTACGGAGGTGGTGCTTACGCCCGCGGTCTCGGTGGTCTTTTCGGCATGTACTCATACCGCGACCCCAACCCACAGAACAGCATGAAAATCATGGCTGAAGCCGGACAATGGGCGCGCGACCGCGCATGGACAGCTCAAGATCTCGAAGAAGCCAAGCTCAGTGCCTTCCAGGGCCACGACGCCCCACAGAGCGTCAGCCGCGAAGGCATGCGCGAGTTCCTCTCAGGCGTCACTGACGATATGCTTCAAACGCGGCGCGAGCGTCTCCTTGATGTCACAGCCGAGCAAGTACAAGCCGTCGCCGACGAGTTCCTGGTCCAGCGTGCCCAAGAAAGCAGCATTGCTATCCTTGGCGAGCGAAAAGAATGGGTCAAGGAATCCGATGGCTGGCAGTTTAGAGACATGGGCATGTCGGATGCTGCCAAGGCAGCAGAAGAGGCAGAAGGTATTCCACAAAAGGACGATGGCGTCCCGGCTATCGCTAGCTAAAGCCTGGCCCATGGTTATTACGCCCTTTTTATGACGATTGTATAATAAAAATGTAAGATTATGTCAAGAAAGAATAGCATTAGTGGCGTTGCGTACCTAGGGTAAGTATAATAGATAGCGCTGGTTATGACTTCCTCTTTGAAAAACATTCTGCTCTTCTTTCTCTACGTATGTCGTTGTTCTTGTTCGCACGGACCTCTAAATTCCCCAAGTTACTTACTCCCCTTTCCTCGCTTCTCCTTCTCTCTCCACACAATATCATAGCGCAACGAACAGATTCTTTACAGACGACCATGCATTTTCCGCCCCGTTGCTGGTCGGTTCTGTCTTTCTCATCTCTCTCTCCTTCCTATCTCGTATAGAAAAGGGGAGGTGATGGAAATGCGCGAGAAAAATCTATCGGTTTCTAGTTTCCGTATCTATCCAGTTCCCTTCATCTAGCCTGGTGGAGGGGACTTGGGAAGATTGGGGACGAAGAAGACCAGAGCACCTGCTTTCAGACCTACCTGATTTAAGAGTGAGATCCTTCTCCTGGTAGACTAAATGTGGGGGTACATTTATTATCATTTGATATCATTATGATTCATTGTATATAGATATACATGTCCTACAACTCTATTTGATCCTCAGTCACGGCATCCCCACGCATCTCAGTAGCCTTGATGACCAACCGACGATAATCCAGAACAGCTTGCTCCAACTCCTTGCGCTTCAGCGCTTCATGATCTGAATGCGCGACGAAGATGGAACCAGGGCCGTATAGGTATCTCTTGTGGTCACCGGAGAGAAACGGTACGTCAGTACCGTAGTTCACAGTGATGGTGTCGAAGCCATCGACGTCGCAATCAATGTCTACGACGCCGTAGCCCTCGTTGCCCCAGATGATGTCTAGGTCACCGCCTTGCTCTTGCGCCGCTGCTTTAACGCTTTTAAGTGCATGGACGATTTGTTCGCGCACGAGCTTAGGCGTGCTGGCTGCAAGTCGCGTCGCAATATTCGCAGCTGCGATTTCGGCGACCACGTTTGCTGCTACACCGCCCTGAACGCGCCCGAAATTCATAGTCGTGTTTCCGTACTTTTCGCTCCAGGGGAGATGTTGTCGTAGCTTCAGCAGGTCGCCGAGTGCCTCAACTAGGATATCGTTTGCGCTGACGCCTAACCACGGGTATCCCGAGTGCGCTGCTTTTCCTGTAGCTTTGACTTCAAAACCTAGCATGCCCTTGTGTCCGCAGACCAGCTTGCCTTCTGTTGGCTCCCCGAAGATGACGATTTCGTGAGATGAGGGTCGTTCTGCCCAGTCGCTGAATGCGCGCATGCCATCACCGCCTGTTTCCTCGCCTACAACAAATAGCAGCGAAATGTCATCGTACAACTGATTTCGTATACCCTCTGCAGCTATGATGATCGGCGCAACACTTCCCTTTGCATCGACGCTGCCGCGGCCCCCGATCTCGCCGCTCGTCTCGTTGTAGTAGTAGGGCCAATAAGGCGGTACTACGTCGATGTGCGAGGTTAGGAGGATGGTGGTTTCGCGTTTGGAGCCGTACGCGAGCAGGTTGTACCGGCCGGGTGAGACTTCTTGTCGCTCGACGTTCCAGTTGTGCGACTGTAGGTAGGAAGAGAGCCATTCGCCGACTTTCTTTTCGTTGCCGCTTATCGATTCGACTTCTATGAGGTGGCGGTGGAGGGAGAGGAGTGACTCGGATTCGGAGGTTGTGAGCGCTTGGAATTCGGAGGCGGAGAGAAGCGTGGAGGCGGCTTGGGGTGGAGTAGTCGTTAGGGCGCTGAGCGCTAGGGTGCAGAAAGTGAGGCCCCGGAGAATCATTTTGGGTGTTATGTGAGGCGGTTTTCGTGTCTCAATTGCGAGTTGGTGGTGTAGGTTGAGAGCTTGGAGAGCTTGGAGCTTGCGAGAGCTTAGTAGCCGGCGATGACGATCGTGACGCTAAGTAAACCACCTTGTTGCATACCAGCCTCTCCGCCCTACTTGTAGCATAACATACTTAAACAAGCACTTGAACGCCAACATCTAAGCCCTTCTTTGGCGTCTCGTATCTTAATACAATAAGGTATACTCACTGGCTGAATAAACCCATGATGACGGTTAGCCTCACATTTCATCGCCGGTCAACTGGAAAGCGCTTATGCGTTGTCGCAGCCAATGCACCCATGATTTGCATATTATCTGAGAGTTGCGCCTCGTACATGCCCAAGGTTGATGCCGGGGCGCACAGGGAAAGGCTGTGGCGCTCAATGTTGCTGTGTTGATCTGATAGCCGCGTGGTTGACTATGAGGCCGAAACAGACACTGCCATGGATCGGAATTCTCCTAAAAGACGATAGATATAATCTCGAGGAGGGATGTTTTGTGTTACACAATATTGCTTCCCTCACTTTTCCGAAATTAACAGCCGCTGCGTTTTGCTCTTAGTCGCTTTTACACTTTATCACTTGAATCTTTTTTATTGCCGCTCCGCGTCTAGCGTATCAGATCACCTTCATATGAGGCAATCAACGAGAAGGTCAGCCATCTTGGTAAAGAAAAATCGGAAGACAGAATCGCATGGCCGAAATGGTAAACATTGGGACCATATGTTTTCTGAACCACGAGTCTGTGATGACCATCCTGTATATCAAGATTGGTCTGATGTTCAAACGAACGATACGAAATCTGAGCCCTTGCATGGACGGCATTGTAGTATATCCGAACGGGAACTAACATCCAAGCTCCTCGAGAGTCTTGAAGTGTCCAATGCCTCATAGGAAACCAAAGTTCTTGCCAAGTTCCTATCGAGGCAGGATAACGAGGCATTGGTGGCCGAAGACAACAAAGCATGGGCATGGATAGATGATCGAGGAATATGCGCTGGGCGTAGTCGAGATTATGAAGGAAGCTTGGATTCCAAGGGCCTACGTAAGACATTGGAGCAGCTGGTTCGTTGTGTGTTACCCTTTGTCACATCAAACCTAATTGAAGGCAGCGCTTTGGTCATCCGACCCTTGGAGATGTCGATCAGCGTATGATGTATGTTGTGACTTTCTATTCACCATCAAAACATCAACGTACTTGAGCTGACAAATTAATAGCTACATTTCCAAACTGACTCCCAGTTTAGTTTCTGCCTTGGCCAAAACAGGTTGGCGTCACCAAATGAAAGCATTGCGTGATGCAATAGGGAAACATATTGCCCTCGAGACGTCTATGCGCGTACACATGCCGGTATGTGTCACCTTAAGCTCAACAAATGCACCGTCAATAATTCAAATAACAATAGATACTGGGCTTCAGGAAATATCGACTAGAGTTCCACATGGAACATCTACTTCTGAGGCCATCAAGTCAGACTGAGGGCTCGGTTACTGATGAATCGGTAGCCGATCTCTCATTTCTCGAATTAGCTGACGCTGATGGGCTGATCGTTCCCTACTCATTATATCGAGAGCACATGACTCTGGTAATCTGTGGTTGGAGTAACATGCAGTGGACCGGTTATGTTTTCACACAGGCTGATAAAGATAACTTGAACATCGAGGACATGGACGAGCTCAAAGGAAATTTCCTAGCCTCCGAGTATGGATTCGACTTCACCGCTCCTCCGCAATCCATCTTAACATGGGATGCAAGAAGTTACTGGCTACGTTTAGTAGCGCATCGTAGTCAGTATGTGCTACGAGAATGGCTATATCTCGTACGAACAGTTGAAGAGGGAGTAGAAGCATGGGTATCTTCTCTTCTCTACATATCGGTTCGTCCGCGACTAAGGCGCTACAGAAATCGCAAGACTCTTGTAACAGTGGTACAACTCAAGACGCTGTACTTGCCGATGATATCAAAAGATCTTTGGACAAGACCCTCCAGACGATGCAGCTTCTGCGCCGACTGGGTGACACGCTTTCAGCCACGCTCCGAGCTTACAACCGCTTCAGCAAATCAGGTGGGGATATATGCTACTTCTCAGATATCAGGGACTGCTCCTCTGTAAAGAATAGCATTGTCGAATCATTTGAGAAGCTCACAGACTTCTTGAACAGACTTCATTCACTAGATGACTCTTGCAAACACTTCGCAACGCACGTATGTGGTAGAACTTTGTAAACATGGCTATTCTGTTGCTAATTAGAATAGTTGGGACGCATTCTTGATCTCGAAAACAATCGCTTGATCATACAAAACGAACAACTTAGTCAGGAGATCAATATGTATCATCTGGCTAGCCACCAATTGAGCGAGCGCATGCACAAACTAAACGAAGAAACATGTAGACTCAATAAAGAGATCCACAAACTCAACGAAAGAAGCACAGAAGCGACGTGTGCGAATCAAACAGAATCCATCAAAACCAGTCATAGCACACGCGTGAATGTTGAGGTATATAACATCACCACCGTTATACCCGCTATCCTGACGCATACTAGTTACTGCTACTCACTACTCCGCTGGGCGTGGTGCTTCAGTACTTCAGCTCCGAGCAAGAAATTCTATTCTTCAAGAGGAGCCCCAAAACCTTTGTTCTCGCGACGATTGTTCTGATGTTGCTTCTTCGTTTATTGGCCCTGGCGCTTCAGCACGGAGGTACCTTACAGCGCCTTTTTTACCGGAAGCCATCCGCCGCCCCAAGAAGATCTCAGCCGCCGTGTCAGACTTTGAGTGAGTAAAGAGTCAAAAATTCTGCGAAAATAACTGACAGGATTAGATAACATCGAGTTGGAACAGACACAGAATGTATGATAATTTGTCTAGTGCGCTTTGCCAAATAGAGCTCTCTGTGCGCTCTAATCTTTAATCTGGCGAACGTGGCTCAAAACAGCCCCGTGCAGATTTTCAAGTGTAACTATTCTTCTTCTGGATCCTTGTCAGTGGCTTTCCACCAAAAATTTGGGGCTGATCTGGTGGACAGAACGATGGGTGCTCCACATGGGCTACCTTCTTCACTCAATCCAATTCAGCGATTGGATTTAGGCTCTTTACTACCTGTTCAATTGCGGGCCATCCCCTTAATCTTCTGAACTCTATCGTGTATCGTGCCATACTATGAAATTTCATGTTAGAGCGCCCGTGTTTTTGTCCACAGGGTGGGACCTCAGGGCGGAAACCAACAGCAAAAGAGTTCACAATTGATCAAAACATACCTGTGGACCCAGTATGTATGAGCTACTGTTAAAAATACTAGTCTACATTATACAATATGTGAAAACTCATAAGCTGGTCTTCTTCCAGCATATATTAAACCCCCAGATTGTGCTGTCTTGTTATTTAATGACAAGCTGAACTTCCATGAATAAAATCAAAGGTGGGTGACGAGAAGAAAAAAAGAAAGACAAATAGGGGATCTAGCAACATCATCTCACGCATTCATGGTGCCCCATCCGTTATTATCTACCAATAAGCTGTTCGTTTCAAGCAGTGGTCTTGGCTAATCAAAAGCGCTGTCTTAACTAGTTGTGAATTTACCACAACATTTTCTAATTATAACTTTAGTCGATTCGCTACAACAGTTACAACCTACGTTTAAATAACCTTAGATGATAACTCGTCTATCTGGCTGCGGTAAAAGCAATATACTATAGGCTTAATGGTAAGTAATACTGAATTGAGCACTACGATTACACTGTAAAAACATGTTTTCCGTCAGCAAGCCTCGCAGAAAAGAACATGACACTAGCACCGTCACGCGGAGATTACCGTGAGCACTATCGGTACAGTGAGATGCAAGTAACCGCCTCGATTTTGTACATGTCCCCGCGTTCCAAAAGGAAATAGGTCTCGCTAGATCCGGGGAAGGAGAGGGGCTTCCTAATTTTATTTATCTGTTTTTTAAAATTCTAGTTCTGAACATGCTTTAATTATTCTGTTTTCATCATTCCTCTCGTGGGCATATCGAACACCAGAGTGATCGTGTATTGTGCTGTTAGTGCTGTTAGTGTCTTGGATTAGGAGAGCTTAATCTACTATAATGATGTGGCATCCAAATCCGCAAACCTCTCGTTCCTGCGCGACTAGTACCGAAGGGACAATCTCTTCGTCTCAGTCATGTTTGCCAATGCTACCGCCCCCACCAGCGCGTGTGAGAATGATTGGAAAGAAGAAACATACCTTCGTATGTCAATGTGCAAGTACAGAACAGTATCCCTTAAGTCATATAGACTAACAGTCACGCAGTGCTATTGTGGTACCGTTTCCATAACCTACAGGAGCAACGCTTGCCCTTCTTGTGAATATGCCAGATGTGGCAACTGTCACGTTACAAAAGTCCAGCAAAGATAGCATGTTTGCTCACCGTCAACGTAAAAGCCACCTGAATACACACTGGGCTAGCTTTCAACCATCAATTCCGGTACAGACATACCAACCGGAAGCTCACTTTTCGCAAAAATTCATAACCAAAAGCCATTTCCATTTCTTATTGTTCTCTTCTCTCCCTTCTCGTCTACAAGACACTTGACTGGTTATGCTTGATTTTCTATGTAATTCACTGGTCACGTTGTGAAAAAAAACCCCTAATGAGCTTGGAATGGATAAAAGGACTCGTCAAGTAATTGTATTGGTATCAAACATTGAGGAGTGGTCAGGGTATTTTGCAGATAATGCATTATATTTTGGCACATGAATAGAAATAGCGGAGCTAACAACATAATGTCATAGACAGGTAATTACTTATGGGTTTTAGCGAACGTGATTTCGAAAATCGGATTGATATGAAAACACCCTGAGCATTTTCACCTGGTAGCGGCTAAGGAAGCACTAAGAGAACATCCGGCCAGTTAAAACCCTTTCTGAATAGCTAGCTCAGCCTTCAACTAAGTAAGAAACGGAATGCCTTATACAGAGTACCAACCTCGTGACCATGGAACTCGTCCATGCATATAGAGCCAAGTGTCGGGCTACGCACAATGTTTCTTGAACGCTAGCCTCAATACAACTGACCTTTGTATTCAATCCGGTTAGATAACTGTCGGGACTAGTAGTGGCAGGCATCTCTACTTCGCTCTTTCTACAATTATCCATGGAATAACTTCGCCTTTTCAGTCAACTTTTCACTTGCGGGATCCACTACTGAAACACGAATTTCAATCCAGGCCTAGCCGTAGATTGCCGGGTGATGACATATACCATACGCCAGATCATGCGCTGACATTCTGATGTTCGCCCCATCTCAGCCTTGACGAATTGCATATTTGCAAGTGCGGTCATGTACAGACGCTCTCAAATATACGTGGTGCAGAAGAAAAGCCGCCTCCCGCAACTGATCTGATGACGCAGGCAGTTGCATCACACATATTTGCCCAGCAACTCACATCCTCAAATGTGGTATTTGTACAGCCTTATGAATCCTAATTGCAGCTGTGACATGGACACACCGATCAGCGTACGAATATTCGACACTGGCAGATTAGAGTTGGTGTACCGTAGTGTAACATATTTCTATTGGCTTCTATTGCGGCTTCCGGGTCGATGAGGCGGATTTTGCCCTTCTCTGGTTCTACCACATACAGTATCGGGATGACTGTGCAACAGTCAATTCTTCTTCAGCTTTTCCTGAAAAGAACTTGTATCAAGAAATCCCAGGAGTTGGCACGAGCAATTGGTTTCGTTACTTAAAATTCGATCATGTGTGAGGGAGAATGGGTTTTTCGTTATATGATGTGGCTTCGCAAGTTTGTGTTGTCACCTATCACACCTATATCGACTTCTATAACGATGTTACAACTTCGCCAAGTATCGGACCAATCCCAGAGCCGGATCGGAGGTAGTATTCGCCGCCCTCTTCATCAACCACTCGTTGTGAGGTCGGATCCGATTTGGATCCGACTAAGATAAGTATATAAGGAGACACTCCCTGTAGCTAGCTCTGTAGACTTTTGGTATCCTTTCGTACAAGGCCTATAGGTGTCTATTCGAATCAAGGCTCTTTTGATGTCCCACGCACTCCCATATGCCTCTGAGTGACACTACTGCCGATACTGATCCGAGTAGTCTTGCCTGCGCCGTTACAACTTCCTGTCCACGAACGCAAGTCGATGAGTTACGCGAATACTTTTGATTGCTAGATATATACAGATAGTTTGTCAGTGTCATTTAAAAAAACATAGAGATTTTCTCTAGCGCTATGGTGTCGTCTAAGTTTATGTTCTAGACATAGTAAGTGACAGGCTGACTACGCTCTCTTAGTCGATGCACCTCCCTAATCTACATGCATTCAACATGGCATCGATGAGTATTGAATGATGAACTAGTTTAGTTTTACGCAGGTGCTGTTCTCTTCTCGAGGTAGTAAGAGTGGAGTATGATCTGAAATCCATTCAAATGCAGCATGGAATTGGTGTGATAATCCATTATCCGTAAAATTATCCCTCATGTCGCAGTGCGGTCATTAGATCATGGGATACACTTCTATAATCACATTGGGAAGAAATTCTGACAATGCTTTGAGCTTCCATGATGTTGTTTTTCTCATCAAACAATTTACGGTTCGATATCAGCTCGGATACCGAAGTCTTTTACCGGTAGGCAAATTCACTGAATCCATATGTTTTCGGTGTGCTGTATCTCTATAGGTGCCTTTTCTGATCTCATTATATGATGTAACTCATATCCTGAAAGAAGCTGCGCAATGCAGCACTCGGACTTCAGACATGGAAGTCAGCTGGCTAGTGCGATCAGCTCTCCATTGCCCAACAAGTGTAACCACCAACAGAATACACGCCAATGTGTATATAAGCTGTACGATCAATCCCAAGTGAGCGCGATAGCTAGCAGACTTGCAACAACGTGACAGGCACAATCCTTCAAGGCTGAAGCTTGGCATTTGTGAAGATAGCAGTACCCACCTTTGTGAGAGAAAGAAAAGTCAAAAACAATGCGTTCAGTTAAATAAGCTATTTCTTCTTACAACTTTTTTTCTTGGATTCCTTTTGTATAGTAGAATACGTACACCTCGCAGTCGGGTTCGCTATCGTCACGAGGCTGAACACTGAACATGGCCGGTCTATCGACACTCAGCCTTACCGGTTCAGAGAAGTGGCTGGATTGCATTTAAATCTCAGAAATATACATTGGGACCAATGAAGCCGACCCTCTCTTTAATCCTCTTGATATCTACCGTTCGTCCCTGGCTCATACCCTTTCCGACCTTGTGACGAGTGACGAGTGACGTTCAAGACGCATTCAAGTCTATACAGTGGTCAAATAATATATTCAATGGGAACTTTCCGTCACTATTCCGAGTTTGCGGCCGGGAAGCAAGCCAGACGAGTTGTCAGGGGAATTGGTGAACAAGTTCAGTTCACTTTCGTGTGTTGAGAGCTTCAAGGCCAACGCAGTCATAGTTCCCGAAAAACTACAGTCTCTTCGAACCTCCTCTAATTGACGGAGTACATCTGCGATTCTTCCTCAAGTTCGATGCCGTACCACGCTTTCTATTACCATACATCTTGGACAGAAAAAACACTTACGGCAACTTTTTGATCAAGCAACATGTGTTTCAGAAACTCGTAGTTGAGTTCTCATCCCCAAACATTACAAGCGAATTCCAGGGGGAAAATCTTCGCAACACAGTCATCGGCACCTTTATCGGCCGGCTATACGAATCAATGGGATGGGATGTCACGCGCATCAACTACCTTGGTGGTTGGGGTAAGCCCATTGCTTTGCTCTATGTCGGATAAGTGAAGTATGGTTCAGAAGGGGCATATGAAGCAGATCCCGTTGGCCACCTCCTGCAAGTCTATCACAGGATTGAAGAGGAATTTAAGCCAGAGCAAGCTGCAAACAAACCGGCACGTGATGAAGTAGCCAAAGAAGGAGTAGACAAGGGGGGAGGCCCAAGTTGAGATTGAAAGCAAGGGTATTTTTACCTAACGGAATGAAGCTTTCAGGAAGCTCGAAGACGGCGACGAAGTACTTGTGGTGTTTTAGGAACGCGTCAGGAATGCTAATATCGACAATCATACCGAATTCTACGAACGACTCGGTATTCGCTTTGATAAGTACACTGGGGAGTCCTAGATTGGCCAAGACACTATGATTGAAGTCGAGCAGATGTTGAAAGATAAAAACATCTCAGAAGAAAGTGGAGGGGCTTGGATCGTTCACATGCAGAAACTAGGCGTAAAATCTAGAACTGCCATTATCCGCGACCCACTGGAACTAGCACGTATCTTCTTCGCGACCTTGCTGCAGTGCTGGAGAGGGCAAGGAAGTACTCGTTCGATAAGATGATTTACGTCGTAGCTAGTGACAACAGCGTTCACTTCGGCCAACTGATCAAGATCTTGGAAGCCTTAGACTTCAAAGATCTTGCCAGCAAACTACAGCATGTCAAATTCAGCGAAACTTCGAGGATGGTAACGGCACTAGGCAAGGTTTACAAGCCTCAGGGTATACTAGATGCATACGAGGAAGCAATGAAGGCCTTGACTGGGTCAGACTCGAACAAGCTTGCTTTGGTGGGTGAACTCGATAAAGCCAAAGAGGCTCTAGCAACATCCGCACTTCTCATTCAAGAGCTTTCCACCCGTCTGGTCACCGCCCACGCCTTCGACACCAGCACAACGGCCTCTTTCAAACTCGGATCAGGACCAGATCTCCAGTACTGGCTGACAAGACTCCATCCCCTCCTCAAAAACATCGATTCTGCAGCCGAACCTTCGGATGAAGACTACGAATTATTAGCCGAAGAAGACCACGCAAACCATTTGCGTATCCTAGCTCAGTACCCAAAAGTCGTGAAGGCAACGTATAGCTCACTTGAGCCGGCAGACATTGTCACATATCTCGCTAGCGTGACTGAACAACTGGCCGAGTGCCTTGCAGAAGATGATGAGACTGAGGAAGCCGACGGGGAGAATGAAGGTATCACTCCAGGACTTGCTGCGCTATACGAAGCCACTTCAACTGTTCTGGAAAATGGCATGAATTTGCTGGGCATAGTTCCGGTAGCGGCTTCATTCTCACCAGAGAGAGAGGATACCCCAGTGATAGGGTAGGAGGGACGAGGAGTTGGTTGTTTTTGACGAATGTTTTTTTCCTTTCATCTGTTCGTTTCTTACAGTGCGCAAAGTTGGTTGATACCTGATATGTTTTCTTTCAGACTCCTCTCATTACTCTTTTGAATAGTTTACTGTGTTTGAAAAAATCATCAGAGCGGGAGATCCATGATGGTGCTGGTGTTGTGGCCCTGTTGCGAACGCAGTAAAGTCACACTGAGGAGCACAAAGGTATTCGCATTGTGTTAGCATTGTGTTATCGATACCAAGGCTGGCTACCCCGCTTTTGAGGAGCGCAAAGATGGAAAACTAGCTCCACTCGATATTCTATCAGCACGTCAAGATTGACTTTGCACATATATATATGTAATAATTTTCAGTTCTTCCATCAAAATCCGATATGGTCTAGTGGCTAGGATTTGCCGCTCTCATTGCAGAGTCAGTTCACTGTTCAGTGCCGGCAAGGCCCGGGTAAGTTCAATCACAACAACTCCTCTATCACCTCATTCTAATCCAACTCAGGTTCGATTCCCGGTGTCGGAAATTCTCTTTTTGCCGTTCCGACGTGACTTTGTCAAGTCGAAAATAGTTCTTTTTTTGTGATGATAGTGAAGGTAGCGCGGGTACTGTAAGCGATGGCCCATTTCGGACTAGTGGCTTAGCATCGTCCTGTCACTGGAGGTAGTTTATTCTAACCAACATACGATGCATATAATATGATTGTTCTCCGTATGATTATTTTCTTTTGATTCGATGCTGCACATAGCAAGAGTTGAATCTGTGTTGCTCTGGGATCTCTTTAGCTGTATTACATAATGTAACTGCTGCAGTAGCATGGGGAGTAATCCTAGTACAGCACAAAAACTTCATGAACTGCTGTTCTGCTGTTTTTTGACATGTTGCAATGGTTGGTGAGGTATGAACTGTTTAGCTTCATGTTGAAAGAGTGCGGATTGTTCAACCAATAGACTTGACAGCACATTAACTGCGCGAGCTGCCAAACTTTTGCACTTTGGCGTACTAGTGGTCCTACATTCTATATTAGTAGAATGAAGGGGTCAGTAGTGAGTTCAAGGAGCTACGATCTCCTTTGGTGGCGACAACAAGGTAAAATGAGCTGTGAACTTACTGAATTTGTTAATGAGATAAGATGAGTTGAAGAGAGCATTGCGTAGTTGTATTATTACAAGCGTTACAGCAACAGTGGGTGCTGCCTTCACCTGGCTCACCGTAGCATACTCAACAGATAGGCGGCAGTTGGGGTAGTGAATCAGTTAATATATTACCTTCACCTGCTGGCGTCAAGTTTCCCAACACTATATCTATTGTATGGCTTCTCTTTCATCCTCTTTTCCCTCGACTGCCAAACCAAAAGCACCACACAGCCCTCGCCATCAATCAACCCAACCCAAGCATGCCCCGCAAGCGCTCCTACTTCGATGGTCCCGGCCGCATACTCGGTACTGGAGAACTCGTCGAGCCAAAACGCAACGTGGAAAAGGTAACGATCCTACCGCAGAGAAACAGATGGAAAGAAACTAATACCAGGCTAGGTGCACGACGTGGAGTACATCCCACCGAAAGACGCCAAGTCCGATACGGAGGATAGGAGTTATGCAGACGACGTCCAAGACCGTGCCGAGGACGAGGAATGGACGCCTAAGTCGAAGAAGAGAAAGATGAATCAAGGCAAATCCAAGAGAGACGAAGTCAGCAAATCGACGAAAGAAGATGCTGGCGATAAGAATGAGCAGTGTCTTTTAAAGGAGCCGAACGATAACGACGCCGCGGTTGCGGAGGGCCAAAACGTCGGAGGACGTCACGAATGCAGCTGTTCTGTTTGCAAGAAGCGTAGGGGAGAGGAGGAGGAGGAGGAGGAGGAGGAGGAGGAGGACTAGCAGTAGTCGAGTGAGTAGTTGGGGAGAAGGCGGACGAGGAAGTTAGGGGAAAAGGTGGATGAGGAGTGATATGGTTGAGGTTTTTTGGCAGGTTTATGGGGGTTGAGACATTGTGAAAAGGGGATGAGTATGGTTTTTCCGGATTGAACTGGAAATTGGTACTGGTACTGGGAATATCTATGCATCATGGGAGCGGTTGGGTTTCAGGACTTTGCTGATGCTGACTCTCCCATCCTGGTATCTTCTTTTTTTTCCTGAGGCTGGGGAGGAGCCCATATGGATGCGTGGTATCAATAAGGTTTTCTTTCTCGTCTTCTGAAATCTTAGCCACTGGAATCTCCATAATCGGACCGAAAATGGCTGTCTCACCATTTTTTGCTCTCTGTATAGTCTTTGGAAACCTCGGACTCTGCACCATGTCCGTTGCTAGATGCGCAAAATTTTGGCAGGTGTCGCAGACCCAGCTCTTGGGAGGATAAACTCGCTGCAAATGGAGACGATCGATAGTGTTAAATGTTTCGGCTTAGTCAATTTTGACATAGTAGCCTCTTTCAAGTCGGTGTTACTGCGGTTGTCGAGACTTGCAGTCCCGATAATTTTCAAAGGATCGTCCGCGTCCTTCGTTCGAAAACTTTAAATTTCTTGACTTTTTTTCTTTTGCAAACGTCATTTCTGTGTATGCGTATCGATTCTGTTTTGAGTGTTGAGGAGGACGGCTTGCGAAAGGTAAAAGGTGACTATAGGTGTGAGGCAGATTGAGTGCGTTTACCTGGAGAGAGTAAGAAAAGTGGAGTCAATACTAAAGCCTCGAAATCCAAAACGGGCGAAAACCTAACTGTGAATCGTTGCTTCAACCACACACACGGTTCGCTTCTCTGCTTTGATTGGCCAGACCGAAGGCCAGGCCAGATGTCATAACGTACGGAGGCTATCATCCGAACGGTGATGTATTTACACTAGAATATAATTTCTCGTTGACCGTTCGTATCAATTTAAGGCGAGTTGGATAAAGTCGTTGAGCCGGACGTGTCCAAAGTCTTGAACGTGGGAACGAGGGTGATGGGTTCAGATGTAACGAAGCTCATGAGAGGCAGGACACATCGCAGAGTGATGCAGAATCAGTAACCATTCAAAAGAAAATTATTTATAAAATCCAAGAAGAGCAAATCTAATATGTTGTTAAGATTGTTGGGTAATGCGACAATAAGGTACCGGTCAAGCTGATAAAGCAGAAGGCGAGGCTGTAGATAAAGAGGATAGTAAAAGAGAGCATATGCTTCTATTGTCTGTCGTGGCGCTATTTCTCGACGAGAAAACCCTGTTCGGTATGCAGGCCAAGTAGACTAGGCCCATTGCTCCTATGGAGCTAGCTGGGGGATTGTGCAGCATATTCAGCGTTGCTGGAGACAGGGTCTTTTGCATTTCCAGATTCGAGACTTTTTCACGTCTGTCCAAGCAAAGCGAACTAGCTGAATACTCTAATCAAGCGCTTGTCTGTAGATTTGGTAAAGTAGCCACCGCCTCAGAGGTTGTAGCAAATGGCAAATGACAGGATATGGCGGCCGTCAAAGCAGATGGTACTACAGCGTCTGCTAACAGGCTTAGTAGTTTGATGAGCGCATTCGCGGCAGACCAAGACCATTTCATGATAAATAGGACTAAGACGACGTTGGAGTAAAGTGTTCCGGTGTTGGTAGCGACCGACCGGGGCTATCCTTACACAAGACCCTGGTTAGGCAGGAAGTGGTCGATGCTGCAGCCGGAGGCCTCGCCTCAGAGGAGCTAAGATTGGAGCGGTCGGCTAAGGTGACCCTGTCCAAGCTCCACGTCAGTGGGGGACAACCGCCGCGTGCGTCGCAAAAGAGTAGCTAGATTGCATGCACAACGATTTTGCTACCGGTGAGTGCAGATTGGGAACTATGTTAGACGGGATTAAGCCATTGACTGCCAGCGCTGCACGCATGATGAAAAGCATAACAGACATTGTAGACCGTATTGAGGCAGAAGATGGGACCGAGGCGGAATGGGGTACCTAGTATAGTGTGAACGTTGTGGGCAGATAAAGCTTTAAAGGACTAACTAGACTCGGTCTTGAGCAAGCGTAGCATTAGGCACAAAACCGTGTACTCAAGAGTATGCAGTTGATGATGCAACGATCTTGGTTTGGTGAGTGCTTTAACCTAATGCGAAGACAAACGGCGACAAAGATTGCTGTCAGTCCTGTACTGGTGCACATAGTCGCAGCTTTGTGTTGTCATTTTAGATGCAGGTGTCTACATCTAGTTTGACATTTTCAGGTTTCAGACCCTTGCAGCTGCCATGCAAGAGTACAAGCTATGTGGGGAGACTCGATGCGGCTGCTTGTGGTTTCTGGGGAGGGTAGTGGTGGTCTCGAACTCATGTCGTTGGCCTCACTACTAGGCGTAGCTACCTTAGTACTACCCCGCTAAGAATAGGGTTATGACGGTTCCCCCACTGTGTAGTAGCAACAACATAGTAGGTAGTGCTCATGTGAAACCTTTGTAGCCACCCACCACAATATGTTTGTACACCGCCTGTGCAAAACGACCCAAACGGGTGCAAACAGTGCCGAGCAGTATCAGCAGTGGTGATGTCGACTCGTGGTGGCTGTCCCGCTACGGCGAGCTTTGTCAGGGCCGGATGGCAAGCGCCTTGGTTTGTATGTCGAGGTCTCGCAGGGGTGGGTCAGACTGGTCGTTGGTGGGTGAATGGGAGAGATAAGGTTGTTTCAAATCGAGTAGTGTTGGTCAGGGCCTGTGCCAAGCTTTGTCACCTGCATCTCTAACCACAACCCCACTCTTTCACCTCATGGAGCGTGAATAGCCATGCCTCGCGCCCTCGTCGCTTGCAGCAGCGGTTTCCGCGCCTTGGCTGGGGGCTCTGGAGGTCTGCAGCTGCATGAGGCGAGCATCTCTCTCGACGGATTAAGGTTCCATGGACCGGATTTGGAAACTCTAACCTCATCACCAAGTCGACTTGGCGGGCAAGTCTGATACAGCCGAGGCAGGGCCCGCTCTCAAGTGCCCATTGTCCGCGAGTGAGACAGGCTCAGCAGCGGCAGCGGGCTAGGCAAAGAGCCAAACATGTAGGTAGGCCGAAGAAAAGCGCTTTGTGCGATGTGATGTGATGGGATTTATCCGCAGGTCCGAACTTGATCCGAACGTGGTCAGCGGCGGGGAGGAAGAAGTAATGGGTAGAGCAAAATCAAGGAGAGCCCCATGGACCTAGGCTCACAGCGGGCGCGGCAGCGAGAGCGGTGAAGGGGGTCCTGGGCCAATGTGGACAGCGGACAGCGGACAGAGGCTGGCGGCGTGGGGAGGATGGGGGAGCAGTAGGCCAGAGAGGTTTCCGGTGTGTTTGGCGGGCGGATACCATGGGCGGCGTACGCAATCCTCTCTCGAAACCATCTTGCGTCGGCTACAGTGCCCCTCCATGACTAGCCAGAGCTCTCCCATGCTCACCCCCCGCGCCCGGTGAAGCTCTGGCCGTGGCGTGGCATGCACCTAGCCCGTGCTTGCTTCTGACGCCGCCGACGGAGACTGGCAACCTTGGGCCACCACGCCTCCATCTGCCTTGGCTCTCTACATCTGTTTCGGGATTAAACTTGCATCCTGGGCTCCAGTCACTCGAAGCAGCCACGGCTCCAGCAACTGCGCCAGGCCTTGCCTCTCCGATAGGCGCTGCCATCAATAAATTGGCCCTCCACCTGCTCTCTTGCACCCCTCTCAGACCTCTCCTTCCCCTCCCTCTCTCACCCCTCCCTTCGCCCTCCCCTCATCTCCCTCACCCCCTCCTCACCCCCTCCAATCCCACCACATAAAGCCGTCTGTCACAATGTCGGGCCTCGCAATGGACCCGGCCAGCTCGTCGGCCATTGACGACAACGACTTTGACGAGGACCATGGCGAGCACCACCCCCACAGAAACTCGGTGCACCACAAGCTGCGCGCCAGCAGCTCCATTATGCAGCTCAAGAAGCTGTTGGGTACGTCTGCGGTATCCAATGGCACGCAATCCGCCTCGGGGCGCCTCTAACACGTGTCTGCCAGTGGCCAACCGAGGAGAGATCCCCATCCGCATCTTCCGCACAGCCCACGAGCTGTCGCTGCACACAGTGGCTGTCTACAGTCATGAGGACCGCCTCAGCATGCACAGGCAAAAGGCCGACGAGGCCTACGAGATTGGCGCGCGGGGCCAGTACACGCCTGTCGGCGCCTATCTGGCCGGCGACGAGATCATCAAGATTGCCGTCGAGCACAATGTCAACATGATTCACCCAGGTTATGGTTTCTTGTCGGAGAATGCAGAGTTTGCCCGCAACGTGGAAAAGGCCGGCCTCATTGTGAGTCTTTGACCATTTTGTTTACGCTATGACGAAAGCGCGTGGAGGGGCTGCCACATGCCTAGAGTATTGCCCGCACTTCAGCCTATCGCCCTTGGTGGGGCCGATCGCCCACCTGGCCGGCGCCGATCCTCGCAGACGGCACACCTCAACACCACCACGGTTTTTTTGTTTGATCCTTGCATTTGCAATACATCCACATCCAGCACGCGCTAACTCTGTTTGCTCATTTAGTTTGTTGGCCCCTCTCCCGATACCATTGACGCCCTCGGCGACAAGGTCTCCGCCCGAAAGCTCGCCGTCAAGTGCAACGTCCCGGTTGTACCGGGAACCCCTGGCCCTGTCGACAAGTTCGAAGATGCCAAGGCCTTTACCGATGAGTATGGTTTCCCCATCATCATCAAAGCCGCGTTTGGCGGTGGTGGCCGTGGTATGCGTGTAGTGCGTGAGCAGTCGACTCTCAAGGATAACTTTGAGCGTGCCACATCAGAAGCCAAGTCGGCTTTCGGCAACGGAACCGTTTTCATCGAGCGATTCCTCGACAAACCTAAGCACATTGAAGTCCAGCTCTTGGGTGACAACCAGGGTAATGTCGTCCATCTGTACGAGCGTGACTGCAGTGTCCAGCGTCGTCACC